CCCCCCCCCCCCTTTTGCGAACGCAGTCCTCGTATGCGAACGGCCTTTTTTTAATATTCCCTTGGCGGTAGACGACGGCGTATCAAATGCGACGAAGCGATACCTTCCTGCAAGAGATGCGTCTCCACCGGCCGCGACTGCGAAGGCTACACCGTCATCAGGACCACGCATCTTGATACCACCACTATCACCACCACCTCCTCCGCCTTCTCCTCCATCTACCACCAGCCGATCCCCATACGAGCGCTTCGCCCTCGCCCAGTCCCAGGCCGCCATCGTCGCCCTGCTCGCGCTCACCCGCCGGTCGGCGGCCCATGAAGGAGGGAGAGGGGGGGGAGGGCTCACAGACCCAGACAAGGAGGCCATCTTGCTGGCGTGCACGCTCTTCACGGGCCTGTGCTGCCTGCAGGAGGACTACGAGCAGGCCGCGCAGCACGCCAAGGCTGGGAACCGGCTGTACTGGCGGTGGAAGTACTGGAGGCACAGCGACGACGAGGATGAGGAGGTGCAGGATGAGGAGGATGATGACGATGACTTCACCTGCACGACGCGAGACTACCGCGCGGACAACCACGGCGCCCGAAGACCCGGCTGCGTCCTCACGACAAAGTCCCTGACTGCCGTCTTCACTCACTTCGAGATGCAGTTTTGCAGCCGCTTCCTCAGCATCGACATCCCCGAGTGGCGCTGGCGCGACCGCGCCCACCGCTGCTCCCCCGCGCCCTTCGCCGGCGCCGCCGACGCCTACACCGAGCTCCAGCCGCTGCTGACCGGCTACTGCCACCTAGGACGCTGGCTGAGCGTCCCGCGCGCCCCCGCCGAGCTGGTCACCGTCGGCCACACCGTCGCCGCCTACGCCCGCGAGATGCTGACTTGGCGAGCCAAGTTCGCCGCCCTCCTCGACCACCAAGGCGCCTCGCTGTCCACGCTACCACCACCGCCGTCGGACGATGACGAGCACGAGGAGGACGAGGAGGCGTATCGCATCCTGTGCCTGCGGCTGCTGTGGATGGCCCTCGAGACGTGCTTCGACCAAACCGAGGCCACCGGCGAGATGGTCTGGGACGAGCGCACGCCCACCCTCGAGCGCGTCACCACCTTTGCCGAGACGCACTTTGCTGCGCGGTGGCACCGCCGCCGCCGGCCGTCACCGTCACCGTCACCGTCACCCCCGACAGCGACGACAAACCGCAGCTTCACCTTCTCCTTCGTCATGAGCGCCTGCGAGGTCCTCACCTGGATCGGCACCAACTGCCGCGACGGCGGCGTCCGTCGGCGCCTCATCGCGCTGCTGCACGGCTGGCCCGAGCGCGACGGCATAATCGACCCGCGCCTGCTCGCGCTGGTCGTCCACACGGTCATGGTCCTCGAGGAGAACGCGACGACGGGCATGCAGGCGCCGCACGAGGGCTGCGCGTGCGAGCCGGGCGAGGACGGCGCGGAAGGTGGCGGCGGCAAGTTCATCTGCGCGCTCCACAGGGTGTGCCTTATCGACACGCAGTTCTTGGGCGAGCGCAGCGCGACTATTGTGCTGACGACGACGGGCATGCTCAAGGACGGGCTGCCGCCGTACGAGACGAGCGTGAGCTGGTAATAGCTTTGGAGGTGGGCGGCGTACGCATATATCCATGCAATATATATCCCGCGAAGAGCGAAAAGGGTTGGGACATGCTTGCCATGTATAAAAAACCAATTTACATTAGTGAACGTGAGCATGTCGACCTTGCATTCCAATGAGCCGATTCAGTTGTTTCATCTCTATTACCCTGCCTGCCAGAAACACACACACAAAAAAAAAAGTAGACAATGATGAATCAGAAACGTAAATCCAGTGACGAAAAAAAGTCAACAGCTTCCCCAGTCTGCACTGTACATGGGGAGATGTGCGCTCCAGTCCCAAGCTGACTTTCCCACTCTCTCCGCGTCTGCTTGTCATGCCGCACGACAGAGGCAGCACAGCTCACGCGCTTGCTCAGATCCCAGTCGCACACCAACACAACGTCGTCTCGATATCTCTGTCCTGCTCGCTGTGTAGAGCACTCATCGGCGTTTGCACTCACACATAGGCTAGAATCGGTAGGAGAGCCTTTTTGTTTCTTACGCCAACGAAATAACCTCGAATGCTTCGCAAGTTCCTATCGGATCGTCGTTCTCTCTTCTTCGATCCTAAACTTGCAGCTGCATTCTTGTGTTAAGAGGGGGCCCTTGCTTCTTTTTTTCTTCTTCACCGCGGGAGCGGTATGGGGTACGGCCCGGCCGCTACGTACTTCTAGTTGTAGTAGCCGGAGCCGCGGCCCGCGGTCGTGGGCTCGTCGGCGTAGTCCTCAAAGTAAGGGTGGTTGACGGCGGCCTTGGCGGAGATGCGGCCGGCGGGGTCGTAGACGAGCATGGCCTCGAGCAGGTCGAGGCCATGGTCGTTGAGGTTGTGGCAGAGGGCGGCGGCGTAGTCGCGCTTCCACTTGGGGAAGGACGACTTGAAGTCGGGGTACGAGGTGACGCCGGGCCAGACCTCCTCGGTGGGCGTTCCGAGGGTGCTGCGAGCAAAAAAGGGTCAGTTGATCGTTTACGAAGAAAACGGGGAGGGGGGAAGTGGACGGTTGCGAGTCGGATTGGCTGGCAATCTCGTCATCGTCGTCGTCCGCGGCGGCGGCGGCGGCGTTTTTCGTACCGGAAAATTTTGAAAATCTCGTCAATCTCCGAGTCGCCGGGAAACAGAGGCTTGCGGGTGCACATCTCGGCAAAGATGCAGCCGACGGACCACATGTCGACGCCGGTCGAGTACTGGCGGCCACCGAGCAGGATCTCGGGGGCGCGGTACCAGAGGGTGACGACCTCGTGGGTGTAGGTGCGCAGCGGGACGCCAAATGCGCGGGCGAGGCCAAAGTCGGCGAGCTTGAGGTTGCCCTCGCGGTCGATGAGCAGGTTCTGGGGCTTGAGGTCGCGGTGGAGGACGCGGTGGGCGTGGCAGTAGCGGATGCCGTCGCAGAGCTGGCGCATGAAGCGCTTGACGACGGCGTCGCCCATGCCGAGGCGGGCGAGGTGCGCCGAGGAGCCCTCGGGCAGGGCCTTGCCGCGGCCGCCGTCGGACACGGGCAGCGACTCCATGTACTTCTTGAGGTCGAGGTCGAGGAACTCGAAGACGAGGTAGAGCTTGTGGCCGTCGGCGTGCACGATGTTGAAGAGGCGCACGATGTTGGGGTCCTTCATCTCCTTGAGGAGCGAGATCTCGCGGATGGCGGTGCTCGGCACGCCCTCGTCCTCGGCCTCGAGGCGGATCTTCTTGAGCGCGACGATCCGGCCGCCGTTGGCCAGGTCGCGCGCCTTGTATACGACACCATAGGTACCTGTTTGTCCCGGGAGGCGCGAAGACGAGGACGCCGGGAACACGTTAGCCTCTGCTGTTGCGGTGGGTTTTCTGCCTTTTGCCAGGGAGTTGATTTCGAGGGAAGATGGAGAGAAACGTTCCGCCCGGGCAAGGTTGTTTGCTGCTACTCACCCTCGCCGACCTTTTCTAGCTTTTGGTAGTTATCCATGATTTTTTTTTTTATGTATGCGCGTTGGTCGTGTCTGCGTATGTGTATGTGTACGTCCGTGTGTTCGACGGTGGGCGGTGGCGTGTGTGTGTTGCGTGTTTGTCGTCTTGCAGAAGAAACAGGCCCGCCCGTTGCAAGATGTCGTCGGTCGTCGTAAAGGGAAAAGAGAGAGAGAGATGGAGAGAATGAGAGAGAATGACAATGACGGAGAGGGCGATAAGAAAGGGACTAGCTAGAGGGACGAAGAGGCAAAGAGGAAGAGGCCAGCCGAAGGTACGAAATGTGCCTTAGGTGGGGTGCGAGGCGGGCGAGGTTTACGAGGGCAAAGCTCTCAAGGGCGAGGAGAAAATTAAAAAGAGCTGCCGTCAACAAGGCAGGAAGACGACACAGATGTGACACCAACAGGGTACGCGTCATTTAGCCCAGATCGGAATATTTTATGCCTGTTGCGCTGTGAATTCCCTCCCTTTTTTTTCCTTTTGCAAATTCGCTTTTGTGTTTGTCTGTTTAGTTTGTCTGTTGCTGTTGTTTGTGCTGCCCTTCTGTTTACTTGTGATTGGGTGGCTGGCAGAGCGACACACAACAGCTTCACTTGGCAGCTTACTTGGCTTGCAGATACCGTGGGGGGTTCAAGCATGCCCAAAAAAAGAACACAGGTTGACTGCATATCGGGATAAATGGAGAAATAGTTAATAAATAGCAACAACTCCCGTTGCCGTGCATTTACTATCCTTGAAACAAAGTCTTTCTCCCGCCGCATTCATCATACCGTCTTTTCCGTTGCTCAGCTGAGCTCACCCCGCGCGTCGACGCGTTTGTGGCGGGGGCTATCGATAACGCCCGCCGGCTTGTGGCTTGTGGTGCCTCACAGCCTTCACAGCAAAGAGCGAGCTATTCCATGCCAATCTCTATAATACCCGATCCATCACGTTCCACAACCCGATTCAAAATTCTGCATGTGTTAAAACGCTCCAGGATTTGATCCATCATCAACTCCTCAACCCACATTTCGTTTCAGGTCCAATATCTTTCTCAGCTTCAGCTCCCCCCGCGCTCCCCAACCCGACGGCCCCGACTGCACATCCAGCCGAACAGCCACGTACCAGTTCCACGCCCGCTTGTCCAGCTCGTCCCTCGTCAGCACGCCCGACCAGCTCTCCACGACGATCCGCAGCGCCCCCAGCAGCCGGCCCAGGTTCTCCTGCTTCTCGTCGTTGGTCGCCGCCACGGTCGTCTTCTTGTGCACCGCCCCCGCCGCTCCCACCTCACCAGCCCCCGCCCCCGCCGGCGACGCAAAGGAGCGCAGCAGGTAGTTGCGCGCGCCCTCGGGCCGGTGTATGCCCATCCCGACCGTCGACGTCGCCGTGCTCCCATCCTGCGCGTCGAGGCCCCAGACGGCCGCCTCGCTGGGGTTGAACGTCGCCGACCCCGCGGCCACCACCCGCCCCCGCGACGCGAGCGCATCGTTGACACACTCCCGCATCAGTCGCCACCGGTCCGGCCCCAGCATCACGCCACCGAACCAGCGCGTCAGCACCACGAGCGTGTTGGTGATGTCCGCCTCCCGCATCACCTCCAACATCAGCTTGCCGCAGCCCGTCTCGCCGTCGTCGAACGAGGCCTGCTGTACCAGCGGCGAGTTGCCGAAGCTCGTGCGAATGGCCCACGCGTTGTGCGACGCCGTCTCCAGGTCGGGTCGCTCCGCCATGAGCTGCCGGATGAGGGCGGGACGCGCGGCGGCGTTGGACACGGATGCCGCGTGCGCCACAAACGTAGAGGCGCGCGACGTCAACGTTGCGCTTGCCGTCCACGTCTTCTTCGTTTTGTCCTGTTGTGATGTGCTCATGCTCGCACCGCCTGTACCTGTAGAATCCGTAGAATCGCTCTTCTTTGCCGGTGCACCGGACCATGTGTAATCGCCGCGCTTGAGGACGGGAATCTCGCGGCCCATGACGCGCACCTTGGGCTGGCCCTCGGCGATGAGTGCTTCCCTGCCAGGCTGCTCGATGCCGATGCTCACGGCCTTGCTCCGCGAGTTGGCACTGACCAGCGCTTGCGCGAGGCTCAGCCTACTGCTTGGTGGTTGCTCCGGCATGGTTACGCGGAGCAGCTCTACGGCGAACGCGAGAACGAGGGGTGCCCTGTTGGTCACGATGGTGGTGTCGCGTATCAAGGCCTCGTCCTCCACCAGCGGCAGCTCAAGGGACGCCTCCAAGTCATCCGCCGCCATGGAGCTGTAGTCCAGGTCGCGCTTCGTAGGCTCCAGCTTGGCCTTCTTGGGGCTTGGTGACGTCGCCTCCTCCACGCGGCGCTTGACAGCCGCTGAAGGCTTCTTGGTGTGCGATTTGCATGCTGTGTGAAATCCCTTTGCCAGTTTCGCGTCTTTCAGCGCCTCCTCTACCACTTTTAGCGGCGCGTCTGCTATTTGTTCGATGCTGCAGACCGGTGAGTATTTGCGATCACCATTCGCCCGTTGTGTACGCACCTTTTTAGGTTCTTTGCTTGAAGTGACTTGACGTGACCCATGGCCGCCAGCATGGGTACTTTACGCGCCGTGAACATGCGCAGCAGCTCCTGTAAATCCCCCTGACTCGCCATCTTGGCGATCTGTCATCTAATTCCAAAAAGAAAAGATTCTCAATGGCAAACGGGCTTCCGAAACCCTGGAGCAGCGATCTGGAATCGCAACGCATAGCCCGCAATTGCAAGATGAGGACAGTACAGGGTACCTTGTTCCTTCACGACGTCTTGGAAAGGTGCCCACGCCAGGGACCCACTAATTTACAGGAATCGGTGCCGACACCAGCTCGGGCCGTACCAACTCCGTGCCTGCAGAAAAAAGGTACACCTTGCGCATTTCGAGCTTCACTTACAACCATTCAACACCCCTCTTCCAGCAACCCATCAAGCTCCATAGCCCGGCTCACACGCCAATCGATCTACACCATTTACAATTCAACTATGCGCACCCGATGAATCCCTGCGTGACGACGCGCCGCGCTTGCGCAGCAGTCGCCGCCGCCCGCGGGCAGTGCGCCCGTCGGTGGGCGCACATCGAATCCGGACCCGGCAAGCCGCGCCTCGGATCCAAGTCCAAACCCAAGGCACCCGGGCCTACCCCTTACAAGCCGTGCGCCCTCCCCTTGCCCCCTCGCCCTTCACGCGCAAGCCCGACTAACCTCCCTCGACAAAGAACCTCACAGGTCCGTCCGCGCCCTCCACCGCTGCCCAAATCGAAACCGCAACCGCCCGCCGACACCCTCCTGAGCGTATGGCGGGCCACCTGGCTCCCCCTCAGCGGCGCCGCCCTCGTCGCCGGCGCCCTCGGCTTCTACATCTTCGGCACCGCCGCCGCCTCCCTCCAACGACCCTGCCCGGCCTGCCACTCCGACCACCAGACCACTCCGACGGGCCGCCCGCCCGCGCTCACCGGCGACAACGCCGAGCAGTTCGACAAGGAGCTGGATTGGCCCGAGTACTGGATGGGCATCACCGGCCTCCGCCGGCGTCTGGCCGCGCACGCCCGCGGCGACGTGCTCGAGCTGGCCATGGGCTCCGGGCGCAACCTGGCGCACTACGACTGGTCGCCGATCGAGGCCGCGCTGGTCGCCGCCGCCGCCGCCGCCACCGCCGACGAGCCGAGGAGGAGGGAGAATGTGCCGATGCGTGCGAGGCAGGGCATCACGTCGTTCACGGGCCTGGACATCTCGGCGGACATGCTGGACGTGGCGCGGCGGAAGCTGACCGAGACGGTGCCGCCGCTCAAGGACGCCGCGGTGGTCGTGCGCGCCGCCGCCGCGGCGGACAGCACCGGCGGGCATCTCTCCCTGCTCGACGGCCGGCTGCGGCTTGTGCGCTCCGACGCGCACCACGCCCTGCCCCCCGCGCCCTCCTTCGGCCCCAACGGCGGGGGTGACAGCAAGTACGACTCGGTGATGCAGACGTTTGGCCTCTGCTCCGTGGCCGACCCCGTCGCGGTGCTGCGCAACCTCGCGACGGTGGTCAAGCCGGGCACCGGGCGCATCGTGCTGCTGGAGCACGGCCGCGGCCACCTCGGGCTGGTCAACGGGCTGCTGGACCGCCACGCCGGACGCCACTTTGACAAGTACGGGTGCTGGTGGAACCGGGACATCCAGGCCATCGTGGAGGAGGCGGCGGCGGCGGCGGCGGCGGAGGGCGCCCCGCGGCTGACGGTGGTGCGCGTAGAGAGGCCCAAGGTGCTGCAGCTGGGGACGCTGGTATGGGTCGAGCTCAAGGTCGAGGAGGACCCGGCGGCGGCGGGGAAGAAGTGAGGGGAGAGGGAGGGAGGTTTTGGAATGATTGGGAGTCGAGGTTGTAGATGTAAGAGTAGTTGTATGGAAGGGGGGCTCTCCTATATGTAAAGACTCTTGTATGATAGTTAGATATGGATAGACGTACTTGTATAAATAAAGCGACAAAATGCCAAGAGCAGCTACTAGATACAGTGTTCCTTTGCAGATGCATGCATGCACCATCACGATGAGACGTCGAATGCCAAGAGCAGTGAGTGGTATATTCTTTTATGTAAACCGCTAAACCAAAGTGCACTAGAACCGTCAACGCCGTCTTGCAAGAAAGCAAAAGATATCAAAAGTCCAAAGCCAAAACCAAACCTAAACCGTTTTCCGTAACCAGTCCCTTTTTGTCGTAATCCAGTCTGAGCCAATGCAGGGTCGTTGCCCAGTGGCAACATTATATACATATAAATCGTAGACATCCGCCAAACATCATCTTTGCAGAATCGCCGAGATGTGAGTATCGAACAAATTTGTACAGCGCAAAAAAGAAAACCAAGAGGGCTCGCCCCCGGGACGATGGTCGCAGCGCAGCTCATCCATCTCGTCCATCGTACATTCTATAGTAGGCCGAGGCCGAGAGGGTCAGAGACTTAGTAGGCATCAAGGAGGCCTTCAAGCTCATCAATCTCTATGCTCTCGGCGCCTTGCTCGCCACCGAAAAGTCGGAGCCAGTTATCGGCGTCTTCGTCTTTGCGAATCAGCGGCCCAACGCTAGGCTTAATAGCGGGACTGGCCAGGAAAGCAGTAGTCGAAGAGGCGCGGTTCTCGCCAAACCACATATCGTCGCGGAATCCATACTCGGCCAGGATGGAGCGGTCAGCGGGATCAACGACGACGGGAGTGGCCTCAGAGAGCTTGCGCTTGAGGACGACGTCGGCAGTTTGGGTGAACTCGCGTTCGTCCTTCTCCAGCGGCGGCGAGTCGTGGCGAAAATCGCGGGCGATTCTTACGCGGCGCGAGGAAAAAGAGCCAGCTGGAGTATTAGGGAGGAACATATCGTTCAATGAATCCTCGAGATCGTGAGGAGAGAGGTCCACCTCTGGGGAAGGGCTGAGCTCGCGACGGCGACCCTCGGCGTCAGAGCCAGAGTCGTCAGTGAGGGAGACGGAGGGTGTGATAATGGCGACGGGGAGAGTGGGCTGCGCAATGCTGGGGTCGGGGATCTCCTGGCGAGGCTGGGTTGTGAGGAAGAAGTAGGTGCGGCGAGGATGGACAGTCTCGAGTTCTTTGGCTAGGGGGCAAGGCGACGACGTAGACCAAACAGGACGCTTGAGGTATGAGGCGAGGCGAGAGGAGATGATGGCACAGGGATTCGCGGATCTGGTCATGTTGGTTAGCGGGGAGGAGCGACAGGAGAGGGAAGGTAGCACGGCTTACTGTTGCACCGAGGTGAGAGTCTGGCCGAGGATGATGGCAAGGTCCTTGACGAGATGGGGGCGGTTGCCAGTGGTCTGTAGTTGGACAATGACTCCCTCGACAATGTCGTCGTTGACGGTAGACAGGTCAATCTTGGAGGCGGAGTCGGCATCGGTCATCTCGATGCTGTTGGCGACGGTAGGGGAGGGAGGGGGTGTTTGCTCAATGGCTTCGGCGGGCACAGCAGTGTTGTGAGAGCGCTTGAGACGCTTGGTGGGATGGGACTCGACGGACTCGGCAGGAGAGGTCGAGAGTCGGGATTTGGAAGCAGAAGCAGAGGCAGCGGCGCGAGCGGCGTGTGTCATGGGAATGTGAATGCCCAGGCTGGGCAGCGACAGCGACTTGCGCCTTGTGTTGTAAGGCATGGCGGCGGCGTTTGTGTCTGTGGCGAAGGGGGAGGAAAGAGCAGGCTTGTTTGGCCGAAGCGCAAGCGGTGTTGCGTGAGTATGAAGGGGCCAAGTGGTGGCTTGTGGTAATTGGCGCGCGGTTGTTATTGTATCGATATCAACGGCGTTCGATTAGGAGAAGGGGGTTCGCGGCATGGGACGAGGCGAAGAGAAGGAGAGATGACGGATGCGGAAGGGTACCTGGGCAGGCGGCTGGGGTATGGGTAATGGTAGGGCGGCCGACGGGAATAAGACTGGTTGTTTTGAAAGTAGAGAGCTACAGGGAGTAGCACGCTGTGTTACGATGATATTGAAAAACAGACGAAGAATACCAGACAAGCCTCTTGGACAAGGGAAGCGGTGATGTTGTGAAATGTTTCGGAGAGTGTCGGGGGGTGGTGGTCTGGATAGAGAGACAAGGGAAGGGGGGGGGATGGGGCGGGCGCTGGGCTTGGGGAGGAAAGAGCTCAGGCGATTAGCAGCAGGCTGGCCACCAGCCCGCCGGACCAGTTGGCCGGGGGCTTTTTTATTTTCTTTGGCTTCTTCTTTTCGGGGGGGGCCAAAAGACTACTCAAGACGACCAGCAAGCACGAGAGCTTTGAACTTTTTTTTTTCTGCATGTCTCCTATTGGCTGACAGCAAGGATGCCTGCATGCCGAAGTGGGCCGCTAGAACGTCAGTGGTGCAGCACGGGCCACGTCCCGACCCTGAACGCTTGCCTCTTGCGATTTTCTGCCTCAGTTTCCAAGGGAGCAAGCAAGCAAGCAAACGCAGGTGGCAGGTGGCAGCATTCCGGAGGATAGGTCGGTAGCGGGGTAGTACGGGATTTTGTCGCAGGCAACGAAGGGAGAAGGAAGCAACGAATTCCTAGATGGTTCATCTGTCCTATATTTTTTTGTCAACTTTGTCAGTGCTCGGCATCCCCTTGACGTTTGGGAGTTTGGAGTGATGAATCAAAAAAAGCTCACCGCCCACATTTCCCAGATTCCCCACTCAGCCTCGGAGGAGGCAGGCAGACAGGCAGGCAGGCGGGCGGGCAGGCAGGTTATGAAGTTAAGGGTCCAGCATGTCTGCACATGTACTTCGTACTGTAGCCGCACTACTGCACAGTGACGGTACTTTTAATCTATATATTTGCATTGATTCTCTTTTGTCTGCAGCCCCTTCAGAAGGCGGTAAAAAATAAAAATAAACAAAGCAATTGGAAAGCAATGTCGAATGAATTACATCAGAGAATCAAAACGTCCCCTCATTCTTTATGCCCCTCACTCTGTTCTGCATGTCCTGGCAGCCTGCACAACAACAGCAGCCCCAGACGTTAGTATGTACTCCGTATCCGTACACCGTCATCTAATTCGTAACAGTACCTACAATAACAAGACTTACTGCACCGCCTATTTCCATCTCCATCGCCCCTCCAGATTTTCGTCGCCACGGCCACCTGCACTTGATTTATTATCTCTGGCCCCTTGACCCTTGCTAGACCCTGGGTTGTTCTGAACAATTTTTTCTCGTCGTCGCAGCTTGAACCAACCAGCATGCCCCGCCCCCTAGGTACTCTCTGGCGCAAAGTTCCTGCACGTATCCGTGACCAATCGTGGTTCGCCTAATTTATGCTCGTCATCCCTCGGCGACCGACTGTTTGTCCTCGCTGTTAATAATTTTATTAGTTACCAGTATGCTGTCACTCAGCCTATGCATGTAGGTTCTGTCGTGGAATAACAGCCGCTCCATCTATACCATAATCTGTGCAGTATCGAATATTGATTGAGTTTATTATGTACCGATAAACTTAAAACCAGGCTTTCATTATTATGCCTTTACCAAAACACCCTCCTCCATGTCATGCCATCACCAACCCAGCCCAACCCCCCCAACAGCCTTCCACTTGCACCGTCAAGTCCTTATAACAAGTGTCTGAACCAAACCGTCGGTGAGCATCATCACCGCCTCCATCTGCGCCTCTCAGACTTGCATCATGCTCTACCAGTTACCATCTGTCGGTATCCGTACCTTTCCGCACAATGACCTGCGTAAAACTGGAGCCGGTCGAACGGGATCAAGCCAGACCATCTAGTATTAAAATCCTGCAACACCCGCCGCAACTGGGACCCCGTACGTACGAGTCGTGACATCAATCGCCCCTCTCTGTGCCGAGAATGGCAATGGATACAAAAAAGAAGATTAAAAAATTACTTGTCCACCCACAATTGTTTGGAGCTAATAACCGGCTGGTCGTTGTTTTTATTGATTTTCATTGACCATTATTGACCAAGTAATACAGTGGCCAACAAAGTCGCCCAGTCGCTCTATAACTAACCATTGTACTCTGTGTAAGTGGTGTTGATAATCGTACATGAATTGATACCCTGGAGAATAGCTGGTTCAATAAGAAAACAAAGAAAGAAATCGACAGCTGTTGACATGCTGCTTATACACCACCATCCCCATCGCTTGCCAGTTCCGCCGCGGCCGCTATCGCCCCGACGGAGAGTCCCCAGCAGCCTTGGTCTTGAACCGCCGTCAATTGAACTCCTTTTGGTCTGCCCCTCCCCAATCTGACCATCTTGCATCTCTTTTAGCCACTGGCGCCGCCACAAGACTTTTCTTTGTTGGCTCTGCTGGGCTCCTTTGCGCCACTTCTTGGCCTGCTCGCCCCCGTGTAAGCCGAGGAAAAGGGGATGGCTTGTTCTGGGGACTTGTCGTTGCAGTTGACAACACGACAGCGAGTGCACGTTGGGTTTGGAATATTAGTAGCCCTTTAGTTAACTTTTGACAGCTCACGACAATGCCAACGCATTCCCGGCCCTTCCGCCTTGGCCACCCCCTCCCTCATTCTGTACAACAATACTCTACTCGGTAGCTGCCCGCTCTCTCATTGCTGCCCCGATTTGCTCGCAGAATCTCATTTCCCTGCTTACTCTTCTCCCCAATGTGAAAAGGGCAAGGGACCCTCAATTTTATCGTGGTTCTTGCAAGCTGTCTGTGGAACAAGCCGACTAACTAGTTACATAGCTGCCCGCTTTGTGTTGTTGCTGGTCTTGTTATAGGCTCCGCTTGGCCTAAAATTGGTTAAGAACCAACTTACTGTACCAATGGTAGTATCGAGGCTAGCTAGTTCTGGAGCACAACGCAGGTACGAAAACTGGCACTGGGGCACTTGGGCCTGTGGCTTGCACACCCTCGGTTGCCTGGGGGTTTGTTTATTGGGAGTTTGTTGTTGTTCTCACGCGCGATGGCCCGGTGTCAATATAACTTACATATCCTCTTCTTTTACTGAATGTGTAGCCCGAGCCTGTTCCTCGTCTGTTCTACTGCTGGCAAGGAGTCCTGACCAACTGGCTGACAGTGCTCAACCCCTCAAAGTCGACTTGGTCGCTCGTCTGTGCACTTGCCGCCCGTCCGGTTCGTCGGGAACGTCATGCCGCATACCGTGCATACATAGTCCCCCGATAAGCTTTGTTCTAGCCTACTGTCGGCTGCTTCCCCTCCTTGGTCACCACGCAAAGGGTTACCGCAGTTCAGCGTAGCAGTTCAACAACTCGCTAAACAACCAATTGAATTAACACTTCGAAAGCGATGACTCGCCGTTCAATTGCCCACGGTCTGCAAGTTGTATTCCTCTTGGCTGACGCCGCTGTGCGCTCCCCCGTCCCCGCGCCAGCGCTAGTTAGACCATGACACCCACCCAGCAGGTGATGACGGTCAGACTTACACCGATTGATCAGATTGATTTGAACTATTAAATATTAAAGCCGCCTACCTGTTACCATGTCTTTAAGCCCAAGCTCCCCCGCCGCCGGTATTGGGAATTATTGTGGTAGATCGCCTAAGAGAGCATCGCACAAGGAGGCGGGGTGCTCTGGCTGTTGCGGATGCAGGCCAGCAATAGCAGAGAACGCACGAATCAGTCTTATAGCTAGGCTCGCAACATTGTACGTCTCGGGAAGCATTCCAGCAGATGCTGTACGAGATTGGCAGCAGTGGTGTTACCTCTGGAGGCATTGGGCGTCGTGTATACTCGAGACCACCTGTGATTCACGACGACCGAAGAGACAACGGTCCATGTCTGCCTAGACATGCTCAAACGGATATGCACATGCTCAAGTAATTGAAATATAATTGCCATAGCCTCTGCGAAATGCCTCTTCCGGTATATCGGACAACTGTATTGCACGACTCGCCATGAGTGACTCACCGGCCAATATTCGGTTAACATAGAAATACTCTACTTTACACACTATCTTGTTAAAGCCCAGCTTTCTGCATTGTCCCGCCCGTCCACTTACACGGCCTCCTCAACCCACTTTGGCTCGTCAACATCAAGGGCGCAAGCGGAGATGTCAATGCATGAATCACATCTCTCACGTATATAAATGCGTGTCGGAGGTTACACAGACGTAGATACATTCAATTCATTTCTAATATATCAACAGTTCCTCAACGCAGTCCAACTGCCCCTATACCCAAAGCAGCATCTTATCTGCATACTCTGAAGCAACCCCTCATCTCCGCTTCTCTGGACCATCTCATCGGTCCAATTCCCGGCCTCTCTCCAAATCACGCATCACGCACCTCTAGCCTAAAAGAAAAAAAAAAAGTCATGGAGCTTCCTTTCGAGACGTACGACGTCTTCACCGATACCCCCTACCGCGGCAACCCCCTCGCCGTCGTCACCGTCCCGGCCTCGCTGCCCGCGCCGCCCACCCAGGCCCAGAAGCAGGCCGTCGCGCGCGAGTTTAACCTCTCCGAGACCATCTTCATCCACGAGCCCCCCGCCGACCAGCCCAGCAGCACCTCCCGCACCGTCGACATCTTCGTCACCAACGCCGAGATCCCCTTTGCCGGGCACCCGACCATCGGCGCCGCCGTCTCTCTGCTGAGCAACCCCGGCGCCGGCGTCGACACCATCGTCACCAAGGCCGGGCCCATCCCCGTGGCCGCCGCCGGCCCGGGAGCCGCCCGCGCGGCCATCCCGCACAACGTGCACCTGCACGCCAAGCGCCTGCGGGACCTCCCCTCCCCGCCGGCGGGCCTGTCCGAGGTGCCCGCGCTGCGCGCCGCCGAGCTGGACGCCCCGGTGTACAGCATCGTCCGCGGCATGAGCTTCGTGCTCATCGAGCTGCCGTCGCTGGAAGCGCTCGCGCAGGCCACCCAGTCGCCCTTCACGGGACCCGTCGACGAGCTGCTGGACGACGGGTGGCGCTCGGGGCTGTGCTGCCGCTTCTACTGGGTGCGCACCGGCACCACCACCGAGACGGCGGACGACGGCGAGGCCGTTGAGGCGGTGAAGCTGCGCACGCGCATGATTGACGCGCTGTGCGAGGACCCCGCGACCGGCTCGGCGTCGTCGGCGCTCTGCTGCTACCTGAGCGCCGCCCTGGCGGAGCAGAAGGCGCCCAGGCGTCGCTACGAGTTGACCCAGGGCGTCGAGATGGGCCGCGAGAGCAACATCGTCGTCGAGGTGACGATGAAGGAGGACGCCATTGACCAGGTTCACCTCTCAGGCAAGGCTGTCAAGATCATGAAGGGCACCTTGATTATTTAAAAATGAGATACTTGGCTAGTTCGGGTTGCAAGCACACAGTCATCATCAAAGTCCTCCCTTCATAAGCAGAAAACCAACTTTGCGCCGTGGTATTTAACGTAACACTGCCCTATTAATATACATTGATGCCTTATTCCTAGTAAAGAAATCTCGTCGCTGGATCCAAACGTCTACATCCCCCAATGCAGAGATCTGGCTCTCTCGCCAACGTCATTCCCATTATGTCCAAATACGTCGTGCAACCTTTTTAAACCCATCCTTAGCCTCGGCTGTTTAATACTTCATTCACATATCACGCAGGCGCAACGCCTCGCTTTCCTTTCATAAATGCCGCGCCGGCCTTGGTTGCCGAGCGCTCTCCAGCATTCTTACCCCAGATGCTTCTGAAGCCAGGGTTTCTTCCAGTCCGCTAGACCCGAAGAACACTTCCGAATCGCTCCGCCACCTGTTCTGTTAATATTGGTATTCAAAAAAGCAACCTAGATAGAGTACATACCTCTGGAGTTGACTTGATGAATGGCAGATCAAAGAACATGTACTTTTCGTTCCTGAGCAGCTCAACAACCAGAGACATCAGTCCCCATGGCTGTGGCCAGAACGCAAGCAGTCTCTCGAGCAGGACTCTAGTGATTTCTTGGCGAATGTCCGTGTCTTCCGGATCATGCAGGTCTTTCCCAAAGACATGTAGCAGGAACTGAGTAAAGAACTCAGTGTCCATGCTGTGATATCGAAGCTGGTTGATCATGCTCGACACCAAATGGTATCTAACCTCCGGAGACACCTCGTGCATGAGAGCAGATAGGACCGCAACCTCCGGCTCCTTGCCATTGATCGCAATCGGCTCACCCCCGGACAAACGCTCCGCTGCATGATGACCAAAGTAAATGACGACGGCATTGATGACATCGATATTGGCGGACACCGGTACATATCCAAATGTCGTCTCAGGCTTGGATCCAGAGCTCATATTGTGGACGATTTGCGCCACAATACCCTCGGAAGTGGCGCCCTGGATGACTTCCTCGACACCCTCAATCAGACCGGCTTCTTGCAAAACCAGCTTGGCATCAGCAACGAGACCCGGGTAGACCTTACTCTCGAGCTCAGCAGTGTCCCTACCCTTGGAGACTACCCTTGTGTAACCCTGCGGGGGCTGAGCAGTGAGGACAAGATTGAGCAGCTGGGAGCAGTGAGGCGCAATACTCTTGCAAAAATCAACATGGTGCGCCGCAAGAAAGTCGGAGTAGTCATGCTGAAGGATGACAAGTAGTTTAAGAGTGGCTCGATATAGATCCTTCGCGACAGATGACACGCTGAAGGCGTTGAGCTGCTCACTCAGAAAATCCAAGTGCTGACACACAAGATCGGAATAAGGCTTCCATCCTGCGTAGCCAGGAAGAGACATCAGGCTTGGCATCAGGGATCGGTGCTGCAAAAGCGCGAGCCAGGCAAAGGAAAAACCAGGCAGGTGGCGTGGGCCGAGCGACTCCATTCTGACGGCGACATTCAAGATGATTTGCCTTGATTCCTCCTCGGGCAGCTCATCGCAAATGCTGTGCAGCTCGTGCAGTAGCATCGAGATCAGGCGGAAGAAAATCCTCGAGTTAAGCAACTCGCCACGTCGTATATGGTGATGAGTCAAAACCAGAGTAACTATGACAAACACGGACTCGACAAATGATGCGCGAGAAGTGATGCCATCCTGTTCCATGCGAATAAACATGCCAATGAGCTTCGCAAGAGCATCTATCATCATATAGCCATCGCCTCCAGAAACAATCTGATGCTCGAAGCGGTCAACAGACACGTCAATGGCTGTGCGGACAAACGCAAAGAAATCGTTTTTGTTGCGAATAACCTGTGTAGCCCGGAGCTGCTGGATGAAGCCGTCGGCAGCCGCGCTTGATGTATTCTGGTTGTCGCACAGCTTCACCCACTCGTCAAAGACATACTCCATCTGGTCCCGTCTCGAGAAAGACTCATTTCCGTTATTTTGCGATGGCTGGTACATACCGGAGCCCACAAGCTTACTCTTGAGTCTCTCTCCGACCTCAGGATCACCGTCCGTGTTGATCCAGTTCCACGCCGCTTCCAGAGTACAGACGAAATCGGCATAGAGAGCAATAGGGCGACTGTTGAGCAGGACTAGATCCAGCATCTGCTCCAAGAAGCCGAGAGAGCCTTCCTTTCTGGCATTGAGGGCTTGGGACATGGCCACGTCGATGCTCTTCCAATCGAGAAGATCAGTTCGCATGAGAGCGGCAATCAATGACAGACTGAGAAAATTGCCCCCTGGTTGCTCCCTGAATAGAGCGCGAACACGATTATTCAAGCCGTGACCTGAAATCTTGCGCAGTGTTTCCATGACATGAACAAGACTCTCCAGAGTGAGGTTGTCTTCGACCTGCTGAAAAATGACAGCAGTGATCTGCTCAGCGGCATAAATTGGCAGCTCTTCTGAGCTCTGAGATGTCTTGATGATGAACTGGACAAGCGCATCGACAACATCAAGGACCTGGTGGGGACGGGGCAAGTCGGCAAAGTGCTCCTCGCGAGCCTCACCCGCGGCACGGAGTAGTTCCTGTAGCAACTTGGTGAGGCGCTCTGTTAGGCCATGTGCCTCCATGGGAAAACTGCCGGACCGTCCGTTCGACATGCTTCCTGCGGTACTTTGAAGAGGCCCGTATGGCTGCATTTGCGAGCCGAGCTGCTGGAGGGAGGGCGTCTCTGCAGGCGTGGGGATATTCGGCATAGTGGAAAAGGGTTCCTGCAGTACCTCGTTGGCGAGCGATCTTGTCGCATCGGAGGCCGATGGCTCATGATTTGTGCCAGCCGCAGTTATCATTGCCGTACTACGTGGCTGGCGGGCAAAGTCCTCGTAGATGGCCATTTGTTCCGGGTTAAGACCTGGCATGTTGGGAGATAGCTTGAAGGGGTTGGGTATAGTCATTGCCCAGCGGTTAATATTCGCCGGGTATGAAGACTCATTCGGGTTCTGGGCTTTGAAACGGCGCCTAGCCTCGAAATCAGCCTCAAGAAGCTCCTCAATTTCAGGCACGGCACGCTCTTCAGCCTGTTGCTCAATAATATTGCAGGCAACATCAAGATTTGAGTTGACACACATAATGATTGTGCCTTCCGGTAGACCAGACGGGAGATCATTGGAAAAATTGCGCATGTAGTTGGTCATGTTGGCCCGAAGTGGTTCCTTGGAAGTGACGAGAGCCAAAGCCCCAGCCGTTGCCTTGACCATATTGATGGCAGAGGCCCGGACCCTGTTCTCGTCTGGCTCCGAAACAAAATCTTTTCGAATCATCTGTTGCGTCGAAATTGCGGCAATTGTAACTGACCGATCAACGACAGGTTGGATGATATCAAGCAGAGCGCGGTTAACAGAGCTTCGCACGATTTCATGTAATCTCGTGGTGCTCACCACCATTTCATTTGTTGGTGGGATTGTTATTTGCGCACTCAAGTCAGGAATTGTCGGCGCCACAGCCTGAGGCGAGAGGCCGGCACCGACACTCGAGCCAAGGCCATTCAAGGGTATTCCTTCGAATGGCTCAAGCTGTTCGGCTGCCAGCACCGGCACTGGCTCCTCTACTGCAGGTCTATTGAGGATTTCGCCAGATGGCTCAATGCTCTTATAGTCGAGGCTGAGACCTTTGCAGAGAACTTCGATCTCGAATTTGAGGTTGAGTTTGAGTTCGGCATGATGGTAGAGCTCAATAAGCAGGTATATGATGTCCATCAACCAGGGATTCGGAGGACGGAAAACGGTCGAGTTAGCCCCTTGAAGGAGTACTTTGCAGACGAACGGGATGACGACGATAAGCCTTTTGGTGTCGTGTGCTTCAATAAGTAGTTGTTTGAAGGCAATATTCTTGCTCTTGATGGGTCTGTCGCGAGCAAGTGTCAGGAGTCCGAGCCAGCCACCAAGATTTTTCAGCTGGGTTCGCTCAGTAGAGTTTTGGAGCGTAGCTTCAGAGTTGAGCATGCGAGCGACGTTGAAATATGTCTCTCTGAGCACCTCGCTCCATAAGGTGGGGTCTTCGAAGAATTTGACCAGGTCTAGGTATACGTGGTGATAGTTTGGCTGCATTTTGGCTCGCTCCGCGACCAAATGGCTTGCAAACCATTGCTGATGCTTGCGATCCAACATGTCACGAAGCTCCAGGCACATAGATTCGAGTGTTTGCTCCGTGATGTTGTTTAGGACGAACTGAATTTTGCCTTGTTCGTCCTCGTCGGGGTCTTCGTATCCGGCCCCCGGGGGAACGGGGTCGAAACAAATTGCCATGAATGGTGCGGTTGGCCGATCGGTTGAAGCCAGGTCATCGTTCCCATTCGCTAAAGCGTCGGTAGCGAAAGCTAGTGCATGGGGAGTGCCGGCGCTGCCCCGTCCTCGAGCTAAATCATCCTCATGCTCACGAATAATTTCCTCCGCCTTTTTATAAGCATCTGTGCCCTGCAGGTCTGGAACTTGAAGAAGCTGCTTGCAAAATCCTGGCCATTCGCGGAATCGAGCCAGTAATTGCATTAGAGCTTGTAACCCGAATTTGTACATTGGCTTGTCTGGGGTATGGTCACGGACAGCTTCGAGAACCATCCCAAGACCAATCTTAAGGGGAAGGTCGGATATCAGCTTGTGAGAAATGATGCCGCCAAAGAGAACAGCGGTGGTTGCCAGCGCTTCGAGCGGGTAATCGACGTAGTGGATATATTCCTCGAACAGGCCGTGAATCATGCAGGCAAAGACATCCTGGTCTAGCATGTCTCTGGAGTGCTTGTATCGCTCGAGGACGTCAACAATGTTGCGGACGGCAATTTCATCCCCATACATGCGCTTGTAGTGCTCCTCCATCTTGGTGTTCGCTGCTGTCGGCAGCCCGTTGCCATGTGCAGAGTTAGCATCGATGATGTCGTCGTAGCCTTCGCCGTAATTGATAAGTCGTGGATAGGCCGTGATACATTGACGTTGGACAACAATAAGATCAGGAACCGGGGCTTTGGGCATCAAGTCTTCGAGAATTTGTAGCAGAGCAGAGACAGTGCGGACTTGAAGGCTGCTCGTTGTAACTTTGCCGTTGGGCTGAGAGTCCGGTCTTTGAGAGGCAATCTCGAAGTTAGCCTTGATCACCAAAAACTGGGCCAATGTTCTAGAAATGTCAGTTCCTTGGTCGGCGTGGTATTTGGCCCATTTGGAAAGATCGAGGTATCCTTCCGCATGTGCCAGAGCTGCCAAATCAAGAGCGAACCCATTCCCCAAGTACACAAGCGTATCCAGCCAATCATGGTGGACAGCATGCTCGAAAATGACTGGCAGTTCATTTGGCTTCCCAGCATGCGCGTCGGCTAGGCGACTGCACACCCAATCCTTATCTTTTCGCCAAAGGCTGTCCAATACAAACTCATACTCCGTGGAATGTCTGTATAGAAATTCATCAAACAACGAAGCCAAAGTTTGGGCGGCCATGTCCGGCCAAGATGTTCTCGAGATCTCGAATGCAGTAACAAGGAATATATCGATGTTTGGAACGACGACATTCTGGAAGAGTCGCTTGGCCTCGATAGATTGGGAGGAGTGCATTGAGCTGAGCGCGGAGTTGAAAATGGCTGATAGGGCTGCGACGGATACAAGGGGGTGCCTTATTGCAACTGCTGCTCGTTCGCGTGCTTTCTGTGGCGAGTTTGCGTAGTCGTCGAGATTGATGCTGCGTTGGAGATTGGGAATCGTCGTAGCGTCTAGCTGCTCTGGAGTCAAGGAAGCGTAAGCGCTTACAAAAGACAACTGCGCCTCTGGTTCAGACCATGTGCCACCCCACAATCGCTGGATATCGAAGTTCATCTTGGGATCTTCAGCGACGGGCAGGAGTGCTTTGTACAGGCGCAGGAACTGAGCGGACGTTATTCTAGCAGTGGGCTGGTCAAAAGATCCAACGACATCATTCCACTCAAATGTCTTGGCGACGATTCGGCGAAGAGCGGCAACCAGAACCGACGGATTATGCTCGGGTGTCTGTGTAATAGTCACAAACGTGAGCGCTGAAGAAACTTGCTCGGGTGTGAGCTGAAAGTTACCGTGACGTGCTTGCAAATGCGACAGACACGACTCTTCGTCACGAGTAACGTCAGCTCCAGTCTTTTGTATGTACCTCGCCAATGCATTGGTAGGCTTGTCAATCAGAACGCGCGCAAGATCGAGCGCAGCTAGTACCTGCGAGGGCGTAGCTGTATCCATCATTGTGTATCGCTTTGAAATAGCATTGCGTAGCTCGCGTCGAGAGGAGCCCGTAAAGCTCGGAGGATGATACTGAAGGAACCGGTCGATGACTAGAGCCATGAAGTCGGGAGTGAGATCTTGGTGGATTGTGGGCATCTCCAATATCTGTACAAAGGTACTAAAATTGGCTGATAGAATCGCGTCGGCCTTTGTCTTTAAATCAGCGCGAGACCCCATTTTGATGGCGAGCGCAAGCAGCGTCTTCATGAACGGATCCAGCTTGAAGTGCTCCATGAAGGTGGACAAATCGAAGTCACGGAATATGTCTTCAGTTCCACTCTCGATAGATTCTGCAATTTTGGTCGCTTGTTCCGGATCGACGGCAATCTTCACCATTTCCTTGACGAGAATATGGTAGTTGCCAGGATTGGCAACTGGCCTATTAAGGCCAGGAAATATTTGTGGCGCATTGCCGACAACTAGTCGGGTGAAGTATTTGGTGAAGACCTCCATGCCGTTTTCATCGATAAGCTATGGCGAAGGTGATATGTTAGGCATTGGCTTCGCAATCACGAATCGGAGGGTAATGGCCCGGTACTTACTCTCCTGAGTTGCTCAAGCTGTAGCTCCCACTTGGCCCTGTCCTTATCCTCCTTTATGGTACTCAGAAGGAGATAAACTTGTGCGACAGCAATCTTGGTCAGGGAGCTTGCCCCCGTCGGACTGCTGGTGCTGGGGCTGGCGCCAGCACTGAAAACACCAGTGTGTGATGGATGCGGAGAGTGGTTGGAACCGGTCTGGAGAGCTTGGGCAGGATTTGGCGAAAATGACCCCGCTCTGGGTAGAGGGACCATGGAGGTTTCTTGGTGAAGGCCGTGGAGTATGTGATGGAGCGCCTGCCTGGGGGGAGCTGGCAGGCAGGGAGGCTCGAAAGAGGGATAACGAGGCTGTAGGGACGGAAAGCTGTTCGTGGCAGCCCCTACATGGATGGGATTCGTCTTCGAGGTTGCCGACCGAGCTAGTTCGATGTCGCTGGGGAACGAGAACCGAGTTTTTGGGGAGGAGGCTAGCTGTGTCGCGATATTCCCGTTGAGTTGAGTTTTGCTGGACAGGAGCGTCGAGGCGGTCGGCAGCTGAGAATGGGGAGCGCGTGGGCTGGGGGTCCAAATCGGCGACAATCTGACGCGCACTGATGGCAAGAGATAGGCCGATGCTGCGCTGCGTGAGGGAGACGACGACGGTCGAGTATTTTAATGATGGCAATAGGCTGTTGGTGTGTGGGGAGAACAGGATTGGGTGCATGCAAGCCTGAAAATGATGAACAACCCATCTTGCGCTGCGTCCGGCAAGCCCTTGCAACACGTCGCCAAACTGGGAACAGCTCGATAAGGTCACGTGCAACCCAGAGCTCGACGTTGCCCCGTCAACCGTTGGCGCTTGGCCACTAAACAATGAAAGGAGCCGGCATCAGCACCTCGACCGAGCTCCCCACTTTGTGTCGATATTGGGAGTTACAACCCCGGAAAAGCTTTGGAATTCCCCTTCTCTACTACTTTCCTTGTGCTGCACCAATATTTTCTTGCTGTCGCGGCGTAACGTATACCGGGTATAGAACCATCCTCTGAACCTCGGACAGGCAGTATGCCTGTGGCGACCACCGAAGCACCAGCCGTCGCGCTGTCCTGTATGATTTCCTGCCCAAATTCCGATCCATTTTATTTCTAACATTGACCCAGTTGCCAATAACTTCTGGGGCAAAGATGACGCCGGTGTCCATCCTCTCCTAGATCGTATGGCTGCGGCCAAGCAAACAAATGACGAATTGAAGTCGTTTTATAGCGGTAAGAGGTGGCTTCGGCTCTTGCGTGCGCAGCATTGAAACTAATCTTGAGAATAGCCCGCGCCTCGCTCGAAGATGAATATGCCAAGAAACTCCTCAACCTCAGCAGGAAGGCGCTGGGCTCACAAGAGACCGGCAGTCTCAAAGCCTCGCTAGATACTCTCCGTGGAGAGGTCGAGAGCATGGGCAAGCAGCACCAGAGTATTGCAGCTCAGATGAAGACAGAGCTGGAAGAGCCACTGTCCGCATTTGCTGGTGGTATGAAGGAGCGTCGAAAGATTGTTCAGAACGTCATTGAAAAGATCTTGAAGACCAAGATTCAACAGACGCAGCAGGTCAACAAGGTATTTTCACGTTTCTACTCGCATAAACGAGTCCATCTAACAGATTAAGACAAGAGACAAGTACGAACAAGAATGCCTGAAGATTAAGGGCTATCTCGCACAAGGTCACATGGTCATGGGCCAAGAAGAGCGACGCAACAAAGCCAAGCTTGAGAAGACGCAAATCAGCCTTGCGACTTCCAACACGGAGTATGAAACTGCGATCAAAGCGCTTGAAGAAACGACTGTGCGGTGGAACAGAGAATGGAAGGCTGCTGCCGATAAGTTCCAGGACCTGGAAGAGGAACGTCTCGACTTTACAAAGAGCAGTCTCTGGACGTTCGCCAACATTTCCTCGACCGTATGTGTCAGTGATGATGCTTCTTGCGAAAAAATTCGTCTCTCCCTCGAAAGCATGGAGGTTGAGAAGGACATTGCTTCCTTCATTACGGAGAGGGGCACCGGTCAAGAGATTCCCGACGCCCCCAAGTACATCAACTTCCGCCGGGGTGACATGGATAACCAGTCCGAAATCTCAGACGATGATCGGTATTCAGTCGCGCAATTCCCTCGCAGCATCAATCCTGCGTTCCGATCCTCTTCACCTCAACCGTCGACTTTCGAGTCTCACCATGATCCCTCGTCCAACTTGGCAAACGATCTTGCTCATCGAGAGAACTTGATGCAGCCTCAAAGCAGGGAAACTACAGTTACGCCTCAACATGGACCGCCAAGTCAGGGAAGACCTTCCATGGACGAGCAGTTCCGTCGAGGCCCCCCGCAGATGAGCCCTGCGCAATATGATGGCAAGCAGCACGGCCCTCTGGCAGCTGTGCCGCACGATCCTTACCCAATGGATGGGATGACAATGCTTTGTCGTACTGGGCCGCCCTCCGACATGAGTTCCCAGGTCACATCTGCAAGGCCAGCTAGCATGGGCTCACACAGCGAATATTCCAACCCGAACTCGTTTTCCAGCGTCGAGCCTCCTAGCGGCAAGACGTCACCTATAAAACAGGACCCTGAGCCCATCGCCACCCCGGAAAAGCGTGTATTCAAGAAGAAGAGCGGATTCTTCCAGAATCATAGCCCTTTCCGCCGCAAGAGCACTAAAGAAGTCCACCCAGAAACGGGCCGGAACACCTGGCATTCGAATGCTGCGTCTGGAAGCCCACGCAGACCACCTCTGTACAGCCAAGAGGAGCAGAGCAGGCACGCTGCCGCGGCAAGAGCCCCTAGTCCTGAGCCTATTGATGCCAATGCCAGCCTTGCTCTTGGTGTTGGTCAGAATGTTCTGCCTGTCTCGACCTCGGATACACGCCGCCGGGGCAGCCACGCCCCAACTGCTAGTGTTGACGATACCGACCCGATTGCTGCTGCACTCGCGGAATTGAGAGTCGGTGGTAACAAGGCCGGCTCTGTCCGTATGTCCGCTGATCGCTATCACGGTGTTGCAACCCCGGCACCTAGCAATCACGATATGCCTGCTGCTACTCGTGGCACACCGCCAGCATATAGCTCCCAGTCACAGGTGTCCAGACTCGGCGTACCACCACCAGCAGTGACATCAAAGGCCATGAAGCAGGCTTCTAAGAAGGTTGCCAGCCAGACGCGAAGCATCTTTGGCGAAGACAGCCGAGAGAGTGGCATGTCGCCGAGCTCGCGGCCTGGAACTCGTAGTGGCTATGATATGCCGAGAGCGGCATCCCCTGCTCCTACGCGAAGTGCATCGCCGCAGCCCAGAATGGGTCACGACACCCGCTACCGCTCTGCGTCCCCCAATCCTCGCACACAGCACCAGAGAGGCGGCTCGCAGCCACACAACGATCCATACCGTCATGCCTCGCCTCATGGCTCCATGAGGGGCTCCGTCAGAGGATCATCGCCAGCGTCTTATGCGGACTATGGCGCTCGTCCTCACAGCAGCTATGGTGGCAGCGATATGGCAGTTCAGTTGGCCCCGGTAGGTGGGGATATGTATGGTTCCAAGCGCGGGAGAGGAGGTGACTCTCGTGCAATGGGCTTGTATGAAGGTGGTTCCCGCCCACGCAGCAAGAGTGTTGTTGATTCCTCTCGCCAATACACGCGCGATGGCAGGGTTATCCTGCACTTTGGTATGTACTCTTCGTGTCCGCCAAACTGGACTACACTAATAGTTCTTCTCATAGCACGCGCTCTCTATATGTACCAGGCAGCTATCCCAGAAGAGCTGGGATTTGCCAAGGGAGACGTCCTCGCCGTTTTGCGGCACCAAGACGATGGCTGGTGGGAGGCTGAGGTGCACGGTGGCAATGGCCGCGTTGGGCTGGTCCCAAGCAATTATCTCCAGCAATGCTAATCGATGTGAGAAACGAATATTTTTTTTTATTTGTATATGGAATGGTTATCAAGACTGAATGCAATGAGGAGGATGAACTAGGTTGTTATTTTATGCATGTACAGACATGACTTGCTTTTCGCGTTGAAGCTACCAGGCTCTTTCTGATTAGCACGTTGTATAGAACCTTGATGTAAATGCCACGTACAAGTATTTTACAGCTAGAATTGTTATTTATATTTTTTTTTCCTAAGGCGTGTCTATGCTGTGCTTGTGTTTGATCCGTAAAGCCGCCGTCCCTTTGTGTCGTCACATGCTTCACACTACGTAGTTTGAGGCGGACCCAATTTTGGGACCTGAAATTGGGACCTGACTCTCCCGCAGTGTGTCACTCACTCGCTATATATCTACACCTTTACCATTCCATGCGCGATACAGACCACGGCGCAAAATAAAGCATGGTGTGGACTTCTCTAGCAGCTATTCTTGAGCTGCAACGCAAATGGTCAATTATAGTCGCAGCTAACGCCGCAGCAGGAAACATTGCGGGATGCCGTTAGGGCGCTGACGTCCAAGCCGATGCAGCGAGCAGTCGTCAATGCGATCCTGCTCGCGTCGGGCATCGGCACCCTCCTGGCCCTCGCCGCAATTTCATCCGCGCTCTTCTTCCAGGCCTACCTGCCGCATCAAGTCGTGACCGCGCCCGTGCATCTGCAATATGGGTACGTTTATTACACCCCGCCAGGATGACTACCGCGCCGTGGATGACGGCATAGCTAACGCGCTGAGCGGCGGCGGCGCGCAAACAGGTCGAGCCCGAACCCGTACGGCATAGCTCCGTTGGTGGCGTCGCGGATGAAGTCCCTCCAAGACTACGATATTTCCGTCACGTTCATGATGCCTCGATCGCCAGCGAACCTCGACCGCGGCAACTTCATGGTCAGCCTGCACCTGATCGACTCGCGCGACCAGACCCCCATCGCGGCTCGCGCCGATGAGTTTGCCAGGGGCCATGCCGGATTCGGCGTGAGCAAGGTGCTCTTCAGCTCGCGCCGCTCGGCGCTGGTGCCGTACGAGGACCCGCTCGTGTCGCTCACGTCGCGAGTGCTCCTGATGGGCTATCTCCTGCTGTCGTCCAACTCTCAGCGCCACGAGCTGACGGTGAAGTTGGCCGAGCGCGTCTCGTTCGAGAAGGACTCGCTGCGGCCGGCGGCGGCGTACGTTGAGGTGGAAGCCGGGCAGGACATCCAAATCTACAGCACCCATTTGACGCTCACGGCGCAGCTCCGCGGCCTGCGGTACCTGATGGTCCACTACCGCCTACTGACGTACGTCGTACTCACGCTGCTGTTCTGGTTCTTTGAAGTCTTGTTCATGAGCGCTGCATGGTCGGCCTGGAGCTCGTATGTCTCCATGCCCGTTGACGGGGGTAAGCTGCAACGAGGGGTGTCAGGGGACAGAGATGCTGCTACCGATTCGGGTGACGACCTTGAACTTGAGGGTGGCCGTGGCAGGGCCGATGACGAGGACGAGGCAGGACCAAGTCGCAGCGTCAAGCGTGACAGCTCCTCATCTTTCAAAAGGGAGCCCGGGTTCAAAGGGGAGGAGACACCGGAACGATCTTTGGCTGACATCCCGCTGGTTGGGGCGGAAGCGGATGACGAGGATGATACAGAGGAGGAAGATAGGAAGTGCCAGGCTGTGTCAGGGCAAGGAACGAGCTACAGAAAGGAGGGCAGTGACACGGTGCGTCGAAGGGCGTCGCAAGGGTTTGCGTAGTTGAGCAGATTGACAGTTTGAGCACGGCATTTGGTGGTGGTGGTGGTGGCTTGATACCCTTGCTTTAATCGCAATGAAAATGTATGCAGTTCTGTTCTAAAAAAAAAACACTTGCCCAAGATTTAAGAATTCAAGTTTGTTCACACAGAATCGCTCGGATTTGTACTATTTCTTGCATGGTAGTTAATCTGTTGATGTCGCAGACACGGCGACTACTCACGTTGTACGGGAAAGAAGTAGTTGAAGGTTGAGCGAGTTGTGCTACCACTCCTTTCCCCCTTATTTCTCTATAACTAAAATATCAACAGCTTCATGTCTGTGTGTCTCTTCTTTGTACTTTTCAGGTTCTATTTTTCTTACTTGCTCGTTGCTTCACAGATGACAAGGAGGCCAAGGCTGGTGGTCCCGCTTGATGTGAGGCTCGCCATGCAATTATCGGAGCTTACCTCCTCCCCGACAGCTCCAACAACAAATAAAGAAAAAAGACCAAATAAAAGAACAGTGTTCGGGTCTCACTTCCGACATATTCTTTTTTGACGTGATCGTGATATCGTTCATGACCTCACACAACTAGCCCTCTTCCAGTATCGCGGCGTGTTGGCAACGAAACCGCGGCCGCCCCTCCATTACCTTGGCGGGCGCTAAACCTGTTTGGTGCAACAGCTGCCGTGGGGCGCTGTCGCCCCGCTGTCTGCCGCTGAACAGCAGCAGCCAGGCTGATTGACCTTCCTTTTTGCCCGCCACCTTCGATCCATCACTCGGACACAGGGATCGTGTCGAATTTGCTCTCCTTCCCAGCCTTCTGGTTTCAGCAGCACCACTCCCACCGAAGGCATCGCGACACCTCGTCAGTTGTAGCTTGCACTGCAAAGCCTCGTTCTTTGCTTTGCTACCTGCCTCAAACCGTGTGCCCGCAAGCTCGCTTCTATTACGCCTGCCCCCACACCGTATGAGGGCATTCCAGAGGCCTTTCGCACAGAGTCGCCAGCGTGCCCTTGTGTGCCCTTTCAGCTGCTAGCACCGAAAACCGCTGATTGTCTCGAGCATCGACTGCGCCTTTCAGAAGCCTCACCACACTTACTCATTCACCCATCCGCTGTATACTGTTCGCACAAGCCGTACCAAAGGTACTTAGCGCTCTCTTCAAAGCTCTTTCTTGTGGTGCTCCCCACTGCTACATAGACGACTTGTCGCTAACTAGTTGCCCAGGTTCGTTGGCACCGACATACTAATAACCACCACCACCACCACCACCACCACCAGGCACCCCACCGCCCTTCCCCAACAACGACCACGACAACGACAGCCATATCACCATCTTCTTTCGCTTTGCTTTGCTTCTCTCAACATTCGCTGTCCTCCTCGCTCACCCGACCGACCTAATCGCCCGCCCGTGGAACCGCTGATAAGCGCACTCAGTCTGTACATACCGCGCCAGGATGCCCTGCTTCAAGGGCATTGCGGTGAGCGTCCACGCCAACGGAACCCCGCTACCAGAATATGGCATGCAGAAGCAGTCCAGGTTGTCACGCATCAGCACCTACATACCCGTTCCGCAGCCCTCAATAGGCGAGGATCCTACCAAGCCTGAACCCGCCAAGTTTGCCATCTCCATCACCCTCCTCACAGCAGGCTTGCCCATCCCCTACTCCGCCCCGAAGCCAACCGAGGCCAACCCTTACCCCAAACCTCAGTTCGTCGGTGGCCTTCATCCCGGCTCTCAGGGCGATCGTGGCAGGTTCATGGGGCTCGTCAGCCCTTATATCCCTATGACCAACTCCGAAAACGAAACGATCGCTGCATACATCTACTTCGACGGCCGCGCCAAGGAGGAGGTGGCAACACTTCTGCGCCCCGGCGAGGAGACGTGGGTGAACAGCAGATGGGTTCAAGTACCAGACTCAGAGGGCGGTGGTCTTGCTGAGCGCGAGTTCCTCTTTCGTGAAGTTGGTCTCGAAAGATGGCTCAACGGCCTGGACCTTCAGGGTCACGATGCTGCGGAGAAGCTCGAGAAGCGCAGACAAAAGTTTCAACGCCGCCAGCAGCGCCAAAGCATTTCGCTCGAAGGAGACGATTATCTCAGCAAGAAGCGAGGCACTCTACGATATGGCGCAGAGGATGGATCCCCCATTGAAGCAGTCTATGACTACTCGGGCTCCTCCTCGGATGACGACGAGCCACCCGAGGCGACTGGCCAGATCAAAGTTGCCATGTTTCGCGTACTTGCCTCTGGAGAGATTAAGAAAGGAGAATACTCGCCCCAGTTCGATGCTCATGATGGTGATGAGGAGGGAACCGCCGAAAAGAGCGGCGTGGATGCCGACCTCGAGCATACCACCAGCTTTGCCAAGCCAAAAGTATTGGATCCAAAGACGATCAGTACTCAAACAGTCACTGGAATTGATGGCCCGGACAAGCCTTTTGCGGTGTTCACATTCTTTTACCGCGGTAACCGTAAGTATACTGTCCATTAACTATCCCCTCCCCGTTAGTTACTAAGGCCTATTCTAGGCCAATTACAAAAAATCGGCGTCATGCAAACAACAAAGACACACGCTCCGGCGGGATCTGCTAAACGACGATCTGGACAGCTAGATTTCTCGAGCCTTGGCCCGTTGAAGGCCGGTGGAACAGTCGGCTTCTCGGCTTTCCGCGACCAGGTTACGGAGACCTCCAGACGCCGCAAAGCCCGGAAGAAGAGCAATGGGAATATTGCCGATGATAGTGACGACGATGAGGAGAGTGACGGCATAGTCAATCTGGATCAGACAGATGACAAGGACGAGGATCGAAAGCTGGCGCCTGAAGATGCGAAGTCGCAAGGCGAGCTGGCGGACGGCGTAAACCGCATTCACGTAAGTTGTAAATGAGCTTGATTTTTCCTCTGTTGCTTAACGTTAACCTGTCAAATAGCTCAAGAGGGCACACTCGACGGACGCAGACGCATCTTCAACGCCCAGCACTCCACAGCCCGGATCAAACAACGACACACCTGGCGAATTGGGCTCCAGCTTCGTCCCCCCAATCCCAACGCCATCGACAAGCGCACACGCGATCGAAAGTCTCACGGCCGAAGCAATCGTGGGAAGTCCTCTCAAGAAGGCACGACCAAGTGTTGACCAAGGCCCCATTGGCAGCGACCAATACTCGGTTACACAGAGCCTCAGTGCTGCGCTCGGCTCCGTCATGTCGACGTCTGCCCCGAGTACCTTTGCAGCCGAATCAAAGCCGAAGTCGACGACAGCCGAGGAGGAAGAGCTATAGCGCAGGTGCAAAACTTGGTGCTGTATATCTGCAAACCAGGAGCTTTCCACATTTTTTGATGAGCGTCGCAGACTCAGACCGACTTCCCAGATAAACACATCGGGACAACATCGACAGGACTAAACAGGTGGCATTTGTTGTTTTTGGACACGAGCCCAGATATGTTAATGCCATGAAGCACTACCCTGCTTCACGGCGTAGAACTCACCTTCTCTAAATGGACCATGATGAATAATGCATACAGGATGGGAAGAGCTGCATAGGTGGCTGGAGCGAAGCGTGGACTGCTTCTGCTCGCCCGGAAAACATTTTCTTTATTGTTTTTTTGCGCGGTTTGCGGGACTTGCTGTCGGAACTTGGTAGGCGGGAGAAAGGTACCTGACTTCTATACATGCGGACAGTAATTCCACGCAACTTGGATACACGATGCATTTTGATGACTGTAAGCTGTGCCTTTCAGTGACGCGGGTTCAGAGTCTCGCTCACTTGCGTACCTACATACGTGCCTGAGTGTGCGTGTAGCACACTCTATGTGATACCTGTACCATGACAGAATTGCGTAACTCTTGGCATTGGATTTCGGTCATGGTCGCGCTCGAGAGCCTTGTTTAGACCAAATCGGGGCGCTGGCCGCCCTTTTATTCACTCGAGGGCCTCATGCCGGGTACCCCATCCCGGTCTCGAGAAGGTTGACGTCTCCCCCGCTAGCTCGCATCTTCTAGGCGTCGACGTATTCGTCACGTCATTTTTTTTCCTTCTCTTTTAATAAACCCAAGTTATTGCTGTCGAAGGATTTTTTCCGCCAGGAATATCCTTTTTAAAAGTTAACCCTCAGAACCTCCAAGATAGTAAGCTTCAATTGGGGGTCCCCGATGGCGCGATTGCGAACTGCTTGCCTGGCGGCGCTGGCCGTTGCCGCCACCTCACACGCACACACGGCCGGCGATGCCAGCCAGAAGCCAATCACCCCGAAGCAAGGGGGCGGGGGCTCGAGGAACCCGCTGAATGACGACCTGGCCAAGTTTATCCAGGAGGCGCTCGACGTATGGCACGTCCCAGGCATGGCCGTTGGCGTCATTGACGACGACCAGATCTACACCGAGGTGAGAGAAGCCGAGTTCTCTAGCTCACCCATATCGTGCTGAACTCAAACAGGGCTACGGATTCGCCACGCTCCCTGACGTGCGCGCCACGGCCGACACGCTGTGGTACGGCGCGTCGACCTCCAAGGCGCAGAGCGCCGCGCTGCTGTCGCACCTCATCCACTCCGGCAATCACAGCGCCTTCGCGGACGCCGGGTGGGAGACGCCGATCGCATCCGTCATCCGCGACGACTTCGTGCTGACGGACGAGTGGGCGACGGCGCACGTCACGCTCAACGACGCCGTCAGCCACCGAACGGGCATGGGCCGGCACGACCTATCGTTGCACCGGGAGCGAGACGGGCGGCCGGTAACGCCGAGAGACGCGGCGCGCAGCATGCGCCACCTGGCGATGACGGCGGAGCCGCGCGTGCGGTACTCGTACTGCAACCTCATGTACACGACGCTGGGCCACGTCGTCGAGACGGTGACGGGCGTGTGGCTGGGCGAGGCGCTGCGGACGCACCTCTGGGGGCCGCTGGGCATGGCGTCGACGTACTTTGACGCGGCCGACGCCCTGCATGCGCCGGAGCACTTTGCGGGCGGCTACGCGTGGGACGAGCACGCGAGCAACTACACGCTAATCGACTACATGTCGGTGACGGACGTCGGCGCAGCGGGCGCGGTCATCTCCAATGTCAAGGACTACGCGAAATGGGTCCGGTGTCTGCTGCACAAGAGCGCACCGCTATCTGAGGAGACGCATGCCGATATCAGGAAGCCGAGGATGTTTGTGTCGGCAGACTCGGACGGCGAGATGGGCGTGTCGACTTACGGCCTTGGCTGGAGTCGGGAGACTATGCATGGCCACGCGGTGTTCCAGCACTCGGGAGGCATGCACGCGTACGGGGCAGAGGTGTTTTGGCTGCCCGAAATCAAGTTTGGCGTGGTTGCGTTTGGCAACACTGCGTTGTCATCCAATTTCGCAGAGTTGGAGGTTGTATACCGCCTGATCGAGGATAAGTTGAACATTCCGGCTAAGCAGAGGATCGACATTCGAGCCAAGTAAGTCTGCGTTGCCATGATTGATATGGACGTGCTTGCTGATCACCGCATTTTTACATAGGTCGATGAAGACCCGGGATAGCCTGCCGACCAGGGCAAAGGCTATTGAGAAATTCTTCCCCGACCGACCCGAGACGCCGCAGCTAGGTTTCTTTGACGCCGGGCAGCTTGTTGGGCATTACAGGGATGAGGGTTGGGGCGACGTGACATTTACAGTGGCGGAGAATTTCGAGGGCAGCAACAAGACCGTGCTCGTTGGGCCGCGACTCGATGCCTCATTTAGGCATACATTCTTCTTAGAGCACATGACAGGTGACTATTGGCTTGTGCATGCCTCGATGCTGGGCGACAGCCCCTACACGACGGAGTACTTGAAGGCAAAATTCGTGGCTGGAGTGGATGGAAACCCGGCTGCGATGGATCTTGATACCCAAGGCGTTGCTACGCCCAGCGATGGTATTGTCCAGTTCAGAAAAATCGACTAAAGCACCTTTATTTGATCGGATGGGATATTCGATTTCTCAAAACTCTTTAGAATGTTAGCTTTTGCTCGCGTAGAAGTAGTCATGAAACAATAGCAAAAGACAGAGGTGTTTCCGGTCAGACTCTTGAGCTTTGAATGATCAACATGGAGATTCAGTTGGCCGTTCTTAATGGAAGCTTTCGTCATCACGTAGGAGATGCCAGAGGCAAGGGATGTAGAGATGAAGTAGACAAAGTAAACGAGAGCGACCTACCAGAATCAATCAAGAGCAACGCGATAAGACCGGGCCACCAGCTGTGCATGCCTGATTGGCAACACATAGACGCAGCGGATGACTGCATCACAGCTGAGGCTGGTCTGGAACTCAATTGAGGAAGAATCTGTACGAGCATAAACCCTGTGCGAAGTGAAGTTTCGGTCAACTTTGTTAGCGTCAATGTTCCTTTTTTTTTTTTTTTTTTTTGTTGCATACCCCCGCTTACCGAAGCTCTACCTAGCAACGCAGGTTGGTACCAGCAGGTTGGGTACCCGGTACTTGGGGTTGTTGGGCACGTAACGTGCAGAAAATTTGGTGACCCGCCAGGCACCTGCGGGCACTGTATTATCAAGCAGGGGCGCCAGCCAATGTCGCGCAGGCTGACATGCCTTATGACTGCAAGAGGGACCCGGGCGTTGTTCTGAATGGTTATGGAGTATTGTTTACTTGACTTTTCTCTGGTCTGGCTGGACCGCCCCGAATAGTGCAATTATGCCGAGCTGTACACTGTGCTGCCCCTCTTCCCTGGCGGCTGACCCCACCATCCACATCACAACCAAGCTCGTTGTTTTGGGCACCCGCTATTGCGACAACCCGACTGTCTAATAAAAGCTCTACAGCCTCTTGATCTTCCTCTCTTACACACCTTCGGCCCGTTGCGCACTTCTTATTCTTCACGCCACAAAAAACACTTCCTAACCGTTTTCTTACCACAAATACCGCCAAGATGTCTGGAGGTATGTGTACGGCTCTGCCCCTCCTTGGGAGGGGTTGCCAACCCTGACAAACGCGACAAATTCGCAGAGCGGCTAACCTGGGAAAATGTTGGTAGATTTTGAGAACGTCGCCAGTATGTGCCCGAAGCACCGGCTCCAGACCCTGCGGCGATATGCAATCTAACGAGGTACTCTCAACAGGAGAATTCATCAAGTTCTACTACGAGCAGTTCGATGCGGACCGCAATAACCTTGCCTCTCTCTACGTGAGCGAAGCCTCCAACCCCTCATTCTAGCGCAGAATGACGATCTTTCACAACGGCGGTTTCGATTGCTAACGTTTCTTTTCCCATAAATTCCAGCGCGAACAATCTATGCTGACATTCGAGTCCTCTTCCGTTCTCGGTACCAACGCCATTGTTGAGAAGCTCACCGTATGACCGTCCCTGTTATGTACCGTCGTTGCCACCTTCTCTAACTCGCCGAAACAGTCTCTTCCTTTCCAGAAGGTCAAGCACCAGGTTTCTACTCTCGATGCCCAGCCCAGCATGGTTGAGGGCGGTATTGTCATCCTCGTCACCGGTCAGCTTCTTGTAAGTTAATCCATGCTTGCGAGTCATATTGCGCCGATCACAGCGGCTAATCAAGACTATGCTACAGGTCGATGAGGAGCAGCGTCCTATGAACTACACCCAGGCTTTCCAGCTTGCCCGTGACGCCGCTAGCGGACAGTACTTCGTGTTCAACGACGTCTTCAAGCTGGTCTACGGTTAAACGGTGGCGCAGGCACAGCCTAGCCTGTAAAAAGGTGGCGTATGTGAATGGCATATAGAATCGAGCGCAAGTAATGGCGAGGTCCTTTTGGAGGTTGTTTAGACAGTCCTCGAGGAGAGCTTTCTAGCATTTTTATGGCTGCACGCTTTGGAGACTCTTGCCCTAGCACACTGCTCGGTCGGGTAGAGAACAGAGAGCTGTAGGGTTTCAGTGCCAAGATGAATGAAAACAATCAAAGAAAGGATACTCTTCACAGTGATAGCTTCAATTAATTGTAAGCGATGCTGAGTGGAAACTGCAGTGGTCAATTCGAGTGACTTTACACTGTAGTGGTCGATATCTATTTTTGACATGCATTCATTTCACTCACATGCAGTATGCCGACGACACTGGCTTGATTATCCGGCACAGCTTGATGAATTGTCGCTATTTTGATTATTTGGGAAGAATAGTCGACCAGCATTACGAATTTTCTAGCATAATGCCTTTTCTTCTCCGACTTGGTCTTGGCTTCTCCATGTCCTGCTTCATATCCTCCTCTAACAATACGCAGTGTAGGTCTGTATGTATGTAGACAGACCCCCTCGCACTGTGCCGCGGGGTACTAACTAAGGGCCGTAGCACAATGCGTGCACATTAACAATAGCGGTACAGTGCCTGCGCTAGCGACCGCTGTAGTTGCTGGGGCAATTACTGTGAACGCCCATTCAAACAAACGTGCGAAAGGAACCTATTCTGGTCTGCATGCAATGTTCAATATTGCACTCTATGCATTCTCAACCACCACATGAGCCAGAACGAACGGAAGAAACCAGGCGCTGGCTTTGCATTTAAACCGGCAAACAGCATCGCCTCATCAGCGCTCCCAGACTTTTCGAGGTCGCAGAAGACGCCAAACAAGAGGATCGACTCAGCACTCAACGAACTAGACAGCACCATGGTCAACGAACGCGCACCGCCGTCGAAGTCTCTGGCAAACCGACTTGCAGCAAGTGACAGCGCTGGCCCTGCTAAGGCGAAGGCGGCCGATGACGACGACGATATTAGTGCCATCGTCAACGGATGGGCCTCAATTAAGAGCAGCGACCGCGCAGCATCGACACCTCCATTTCCACAAGCCAGAGCGGTGCGCCAGTTTGGACACCCGACGAAGCTAGTATCGTCTCGGAAGCAGAAGGCCGATGTCTTTATTCGTCAGACAACCCGTCCTGAGCATCACATCACCAGCACCAAGGTCCACGCTCCAAAGGCCCAGACGTATACCGATCGCAAGCCCCCTCCCCCGCCCGTCTTCAACTCGAACCAGGCCGAGAGACCCGCCCGCGGAAAGTTCGGCGAGGAAGTCTTCTACACCGACCCGGCAAAGGCCAGCGCAGACCTGAAGGCTTTGCTTGAAGGTGGCATGGAGGATGAAGCTGAAGAGGACGACCAGCAAGAACCTGCGATAGCTGAAGGTGCTTCTGACGGAAAGAAGCCGGAAAATACAAAGAAGAATAAGAGCAAGCAACGTGTAAGCAAAGATGGGAAGATAGACGGTCTTAAAGTCCGGCTGTTACCTCATCAAGTGGAGGGTGTCGAATGGATGCTTGGTCGTGAACTGGGCCCTGTGAAGCGAGGCACCGTTCCCAAAGGTGGGCTGCTCGCGGATGATATGGGTCTCGGCAAAACTCTTCAGACCGTCTCTCTCATTCTGTCAAACCTCAAACCGGAGAAGGGCTCGGACGCTTGGAAGCCTCAATATGAAAAGATGGAAAAGACTACTTTGGTCGTCGCCCCGTTAGCACTCATTCGGCAATGGGAGCATGAAATCAACGACAAAGTGGAAAAGGCAACTGGATTGAAGGTGCATGTCCACCACGGCCCGCAACGGACAAAAAATTTCAAGGATCTCACCAGATATAATGTTGTTATTACAACATATCAGATTTTGGTATCAGATCATGGCAACTCATCAGAGACCGAAGATGGCAAGAAGACTGGCTGCTTCGGGCCAACATGGTGGCGTGTTGTCCTAGATGAAGCTCACACCATCAAGAACCGCAATGCGAAGACAACAAAAGCCTGCTATGCCCTGCGCTCAGAGTATCGCTGGTGCTTAACCGGTACACCGATGCAGAACAACCTGGATGAATTGCAGTCACTTATTAGGTTCCTGCGGATCAAGCCATATGACGAGCTGCGCCAGTGGAGAGACCACATTGACCAGCCTTTGAAGAATGGCAAGGGGCATGTTGCTATCGGGCGTTTGCACAGTGTTCTCCAGTGCTTTATGAAACGACGCACAAAGGATATTCTTAAGGAAGAGGGCGCCCTGAAACCCGGAGGCAAGTCTGCTGAGGGCGAAGAAGACGATCCGGGTCCTGGTTTCAAGCACACCGAACGAAAGGTTGTTACCGTCTCCGCTGAGCTGTCAGCGGCAGAGCGCCAATTTTATAACCGCCTGGAGGATCGCACCGGTGAGAGTATGAAGCGTATGATGGAAGAGAAGCTCAACTATCTGAACGCATTTACGCTGCTGTTGCGCTTGAGACAAGCTTGTAATCACCCGAAGCTTGTCGAGGGCAAGATTGAGAGAGATCGGGATGCTATAACGACCGACAGCAGTCAGAGTCAAAACCAAAAGTCACAGGAGTCTGAAATGGATGCCATGGCAGACCTATTTTCTGGAATGGGCTTGGATTCCAAGAAATGCGGTGTTTGCTCTATGGAACTCTCCAAAGACGATGCCGCACAAGGACTCAACACTTGCTCGTCTTGCAAGGAAGACATGGTCCAGTTCAAGGAGTTTGAAAAGAGCAACAAGAAGAAGAAGATGGGAAAGCACAAGACAAAGTCGAAATCCAAATCATCCAAGTCATCCAAGATACGACAAGCCGAGCGAAAGCAGGAAATTACAACCGGCAAAATGGCCCGACGCCCGCGCAACCGTAATACTGTTCTTGACAGTGATGACGAAGACGATGTCGAGGGCAGCTGGCTTGTTTCGGACGGTGAAAGGGGTCCTTTGAATCTGGGTAAAGCTGGGGGCGAAGAAGATGAAAATGCCGCTGGCCCTACAGAGTGGCTTCGGTCCGAGTCGGAAGAGTCGGAAGAGTCAGAAGATGAGGACCAAAGCAACTTGAGCAGCTTCGTCGTGGATGACGAGAACGAAGCAAAGCCCTCGCAGGACAATAATGATTCTCTGTTGTCAATAGACGCCTTGACTAGGCAGCTTGAGTCACAGACACTAGAAGACAAACCGACTGCTGCCTCGCAGGCTTCCGCCACAGAGGTGGAGGACGAAGATGACGATAGCTCTGAGGGGAAATCGTCAAGCTCCGTTTCTGGCATTGACGAGTCAGAGCTCTACTCTGACGATGACGACGTGCGTCCGGCGCCAGGGTCGAGCCAGATTGTGGCCTCGGCAAAGATTCGCGAGCTCAGCCGCATTCTGCACGCTGAAGCTCATGAGCACAAGTTCATCGTCTTTTCCCAGTTCACATCCATGTTGGACCTGGTCGAGCCCTTTATCCGCAAGGACGGCTACAAGTTTACGCGCTACGATGGCAGCATGCGCAACGATGAGCGCGAGGAGAGCCTGCGCCAACTCCGCGAGGACAAGCGTTGTCGTGTGCTGCTGTGCAGTCTCAAGTGCGGCAGCCTGGGTCTCAACCTCACAGCCGCCACGCGCGTCGTCATTATCGAACCTTTCTGGAACCCGGTACGTTTTTCTCTCCTCTCATTGCAGACCACCACCCCTCTAACCATAACTCCAGTTTGTCGAGGAGCAAGCCATTGACCGCGTCCACCGCCTCAACCAGACCGTCGACGTGGTCGTCTACAAGCTCACCGTCGCCAACACGGTCGAGGAGCGCATCGTTGACCTGCAGGAGAAGAAGCGCCTGCTCGCTGAGCAGGCCATCGACATGGGTGCCAAGAAGGGCGCCCTCAAGCTCGGCCTCAACGAGATCATCGACATGTTCAAGCCTGGCGGCCACTTTAGCAACGGCACCGGCGCGCGCGGCGTCCGTGAGCAGGTGCAAGCAGCGTCGCGCCTTGTGGTTGATGGTAGCAGTGGCAGGAGGGCGCCGCCGAAGCGAGAGGAGAGCTCCATCTACGGACGGCGTTGGTAATTCTGGCTGTGTCAAAGACGATTATCTCCTCCTTGCATTTGTACATGGAGAGGAGATGGGTTGCTTATTTATGATACCCGTATGCGGGATGTATTTTTCAAATGAGGTCATTCTAGCGGCATGAGAACATGGCGTAACATAAGATGTTGGATTACACGAAAAGGTCCCCGCTCGGGCTCTCGATGATACTGCTGTTTTGCTTCTATTTAGAGAATGATGACGATATTCACAATAAAGAGCGCATCGATGCATGTTTTACTGAAGCAATAACGCATGATTACTGAAAAAAATGTCTTCATGAAACCAAATTTTCAAACAAAACGTGTCGCTAACTAGCTACCTAGTCATGAGGTGATGCTGCTGCCCGGTTCCCACTGCTTTCAAGTCGCACGGTCTTCCTGTCTTGAAAGCGCAAAGCCAATCAACCACTTCATAATCCACACGAGCCAAAATTCCTCCTCATATGTTCTACAGAAGGCCCTACATGATTTCTGTGGTCCCTTGCGCTTATTAGTAGCCGCCGGGCTGGCGGTAGTAGTCGTTGGGGTTCGGCGCGCTAGGGCCGTCCGGGGCAGACGCCCCAGGCGGGACGTATGGCTTGTACTGAGGCGCGCCGCCGCTGCCGACGCCGGGAACTTGCGGCGGCTGGCCGGTGGGAACGGGGGGAGGGGCCTGTTCAGGCGGTGCGTAGCCCTGGTAGTGCGGTTGCGAAGACGCCTGCTGCTGCTGCTGCTGCTGCGCGGGCGGTGAGGTGGCAGCGTCGTCTGGGGGAGAGTAGAAGCTGTTGGGATTGTGCGGCGCGATGGGGGAGTCATAAACAGACGTGGCGAGCTCTTGCGCGCCGTAGGTGCTCTGGGGCCGTTGCAGGGGCTGCAGGGCAGGAGGCTGCTGCTGCTGCTGCTGAGCGGGTGGGTGGTACATTTGCTGCGGCTGTGGCGAGTAGGGTGTGTATCCCTGAGCCTGAGGCGGCGGTGATGTGCTACTGTTGGGTACGGGCGGTTGCGTGGAGGAGGGGATGCGCGGTGTCGGGTCGCGAGGGGGGTACTGCTGCTGGTGGCCCGCGGGAGGTTGGTTCCCGACCTGGGACGGCACCTCGGCTCCGCCTACGTAAAATGGAGCGTTGCCCGGTTGGCCGCCGCCAGGTGGGAAGTTGGGAGGAGGAGAGGAGGTCTGGTAGCCGTGGTCTGGGCCAGCCTGGGGCGCGGAGCTATAGTATTGATTGGGCTCCTGTGACGGGGGTGGCTGGTTGGGATAGCCTCCGACCTGAGGGTAGCCTTGACCGGGACGCATGGCATATTGCTGGTAGTTGTGTTGCGGGGGGTGCGCCATGGAGGACTCGAGAAGCGATTCGTAGTCGCGGCGTGCCTTGATGAACTTCTCATTGAGCTGTGTAAAGTCGTCTTGTACAGTATTAGCATGTGATGGCTTCTTCCGGGATTACCCAATCTACCTTTTTTCTGTGAATACTTTTCGATCAACTTGATAAGCTTTGGACGAATCGCTAGTGTTTGATGGTACAGTTTCTAGTAAACGTTAGCACGCCCAAGCTCTCCCGGCTTTGCTCAGGTATGGTATTCTTCTCACTGAAATCTCCTCATTGTCCTCCTCTCGAGGACCTGTGTTAGAGGCACTGAGCAGAGTCAGGAGCTTCTCCACGTTCTTGATTTCGGCAAAGACCTCGGCTTCCATTTGCGCCTCCCTCTGCAGCTCATCGGGAGTTGGGTCCGTGAGCTTCTCGACGTAGTTGAGCGGAAAGATGCCAGTGTTGCCCTTGAGGGAGCCCCGCCACCAATCCTTGTATACGCTCTCGAGGACGGCAATCACATCGCCCTTTTTGAACTCGAGCTCTCCAGGCTCAGAAGGCGCAAAGTCGAACAAGGCACGCACTCTGCTGACGGTGGCTGCCGTGGTACCAGCGGTGACGGGCGGAGCTGGTGCGGCGTCGTCGGCGGTCGAGGATCCGGGTTGTGCGGAGGTGGAGGATGCGGCAGCCTTCTTGCGGTCTTCTTCCTGCAAGCTCAGCTTTAGTGCCATCTGCAGCTCATCGTCCTCCTTTTGCCTGTCTGAGGCAGTGAGGCCCTGCTTCTGCGGTGCGCTGGGGGCTTGCAACGTGGGGTTGGTTTGCTTGAGTCGGTAGTAGGCGTCGTACATGATGCCAAGCTCGGCATCCTTGCTAAACATGTCGCTCCAGTCCTTCATTTTTTCCAAAATCTTACCCTTGACTTGTTGATGTGTGTTTCGGTCGTTGGCGAGCTTGAGGAGGGCGTCGGTAAAGGCGCGACTGGAGACTTCGCGGTGCATGGGCTTTCCACAGTTCTGGCAGAGAGCGTGCGCAAGCTGGAGGGCGTTTAGCATGCGGGGAAAAGAAGGGAACTACGGAATTTCTACCTCGAGTGTGTATAGTTGGACGTTCGCATTACGATGCGCGAGACGCTTGATCATGCTCTGGACAGCTTCCTTGGGGCCGGTTGGGTCGCCGGTAGCCTTATCGCAGACCTCCATGATGGCGCCCCAGTCCTCGGAGGTGAGGTTCTCGTCTGTCGCCTTGGCTGGAAGAGCGTTAGTATTGCAGTGGCGAGCATGTGAGTTTCACCCCGTCACAAGACCTACCGACGGCATCGTCAAAAGGACCGACCGCGGCCGCTCGGAACATGGCTGCGGTTGTTGGGTCGAGAGGCAGGAAGGCTGGACGGCAGGCGAGGGGAGATCTAGGGTATCAGGGGTATCTGGGGATTAATTTGTAATTGGCAGGTGGTGTTGAGGATGTTGCAGCTGGGCGTCGAGTCGATACAGAGGCTGTCGCAAGAAAAGAGAAGAGGTGCAGTGGCGAGCTTGGTGGCCAAGCAAGGTATGTGGTGGGCGGACGTCAGCCATTCGCAGGCTGAATGGAGCAGTTCGTCATCAGGACGCGAAGGCTGGGTGGCCAAGTGGGGTACGTACCTACAGATGTTCATTGTGTCAGAGGGATTCAAGGCGTAGTAGACAGGGCGGGTAGAATAGACGAAAATTATAAAAAAGATCAAAAGTGACAAAAAGAATAAAAAAACCCCTTTTGTTAAGATGCATAACAAAAGACAACCCCTTTTGTTAAGATGCATGTTTGCAAATGGACCTCATACAGCGGCAGACACAGCGCTGGCGTGTACAGCGGACCAGGTAGCGTGGCATGGTGTGCTGCAGTGGAAACGTGCAACAATGTTTAAGAATCACTTCTCATGAGCAACCTTTGAATTTGAATTATGTGATATAGAAGCAAAGGTAGTATCGAGTACCGGATTAACTAGAAACGCTTTTGCTGGTCTCTTCATCTTCGACTTGCGGAACTGGGCCGAGAGCGCGCGCGCCTGTTTTAGCGGTCCCATTATAGCACGGCCAGGCTTTGCAGCCACCTACAGTAAATCATCACCTGCCTGACAAGGCGAGCCAAGAGCTGGATAAGCATCATGACAGCCCTATAGGGCCACGCGGCTCGCAGAAGCGAGTTTTACGGTAGTCCGAGAGCTATACAATGTGTTATATAACTCTTAATTCCTCAGAAATTCCAAAATAGTAGATGGCGGGTACTATGTACTGAGATTGCACCTACCAGTGTCCCTTACTACCTGTACCTACATACATACCTACCTACCACATCAGATCAGCCTTGGAGCAGCTGAAACTGAGCCAAACGCATCGTCGCAATTTCGTCTGTATTTGCAGAAATAGAACTGTCCATCCAAGCTTGATGGACCTACATCAAAACGAGAGACGACTGCATAATAAGCGTCTTACAATCCTGCTTCCTATTCAAAAGTACCAACAACTAAGTTAGTCCCCGGCCACAGGTAACAACAAACTGCCAGCCGAGCCGTGTACTGGCAACACAGACACGAAATTGCCGAAATTGCAGATCATTGTGGATTGACAGCTGTTCTGCGATACGTGGCACGGAACAGGACGAGAGAGCTCTCCTCGGATGGCTGGCGATGGCATACTTTGCACCCCAATCTTGGGGCGCCACGGTATCACGACAGCTAGTAGGCAGACCTGCAGCATTATGTACGGTGCGGAGTAGGTAGGTAGGTAGGGGCTGGCTTTGTTTGAACGTGGCCCTCGTTGACTCACTCGTTCACGAGATGACTAGCCGAATCATGGGGAATTGGAGAATGAGTTCGGTGTAACTTGCATCGGTGCCGTCGGAGCAACTGACAAGATCACGGCCATGAGCCAATGGCTCGCCCCTGCTCATACAGTATCTGGGCAAGCATTCACACGCAACCTCATGGCCAGTGTTCCAGAATTCTCGACATCAAGGTTGCACAATCCATACAAGTGTGCCTAGATACGATCTGGCAGCCTAAAAGGCGTGCCCTTCTGTTATCCACAATAACAATACGGATACTCTTTAATATGCGTACATACAGGTACCTAGCAGCATCTCCAGCGAGGGCGACTGCGACCGGTGACTTGCGGGTATCGAATACTGCATCGGGACCTGACTTGTGGGGCAATCAACGGGCGCCAAAAAGGTATCAGCAAGCTGCGATTGGGTACAGGATACCTGCCGTCATCTAGTCCCTGTCATGGCTGCCTGTCTCTCTTGTCTTTGCCTGTCTTCCGTCCCCATGGGCGGGCCAAGAGCCATGATGGACACGTTCTAGCGCCGTCCAACCCTGCCTCGCTCCATCCGCTTAGCAAAGTACCTGGTTCATCAGCCGCTCGCCTACCAATTTCCAGGTACCACGATACCAAACGCCCCCCCGGCACCCACTTTCTTCTCCTTCTCTCCACGACCTGTTGGCACTGGTTGGCTACCTAGTGTGGTGTTTGGTGCTGATGAAGGAGGTAGGGTAGCCCTGCCATCTATCGGCCTGCCCATTGCTCGCTCATTGCGTTATCGACGCTGCTGTTCGAGTCACCTCTCCCATCTCTCCCATCTCACATCTCCCATTCCCATCAACCTCCGTTCTCCTCCTCCTCTTCTTCTTCTTCTCTCTCGACCTCTCTCCTCCCCTAATCTCAGCCTCTCATACCTTTATCCAGCTAATTAGCTCCCTCCTCCCTCTCCTCTCACTAGCCTCTCCCGCGACTACCGGCCTATGACGAAAGCTACCTACCTCAGCATCTATCGGATCATCATCACGAGGTCCCCCGACCTGCCGCTACGAATGACCCGGCCTCGGACCCATCCCCCATCACACATCATCGACAGACCCAAGGCCACTTGACGAGCTCGACCATCGCCCTTTCATCTCCGATACATATACTCTCTGCGCTGCATCCATATTCAGGCTGTACTCGCACCGCGTCTTGTCGTCCTCCTGTGCGCTGCTCTGAGCTACCCTTGTGTCAGCTGCTGTCCGACCGCCACTGGTGACTAGGTAGCTACCTAGCCACCACTACCGATCCTCTCTCTACCCAACTACCTCTCTATCTATCTACCTGCTTCACCTACGACGACAGTGGCTTAATATCGCATTCCATACACCACCCACTATCGACTGCAAATCGACGACGATGGAAGAGCGTACTTCTACCGCCTAATCGTCCCCCATCACCGCCCCCCTCCCCGTCCCCGAATCGCGTCCGTCCAACTCCTTGCCATCTCTGTCTTACACCATGCATCAACAGGCAAGGATACCCCAGAGGAAAGCCTCGTCGCCCTCGCCATCACCGCAGATTCCATCGTCCCGCAATGTACCCAACGCTGATGCTGGCATCGGCGGAGCTCGTCCCCGGGCCACATCTTCTCTCTCCGTGAACCAGCCTGCACAGGCTTCGGCAGCCGGTGACGCTCCAACGGCCTCGGGCTTACCCGCCGATTCTGTCAGGAAGCTGGACCAGATCGTACAGGTGCGCCGAGCCAACGAGAGAATTCCCCCTGCCGCGTCAAAGCTGACAACTGGATAGAATTTCTACACCAAAGCTGCCGCAGTGATTCTAGACTCTAGGATGAAGATTCGACCTATGCGCTACTCTAATGGAGTAGTCAAGGTGAATAAATGGGTACGTACCGTCTCCGTCTTCGAGTATTCCATCCAACTTCTAACACCTGATGCAGTATCAAATAGAGACAGATGAAATTGATGACTTCCGAGAGGAGCTCAGGACTTGGAAGGCCTGTGGCAGTATAGAAAATCTCCCGCCCCCGATGGTCATCGAGGTGTACCTAGATGCATCATCCCTCAAGGAAAGCCAAAGTCTAATTACCGTAGACGAACAAGGCAAACGATGGGATGTCATGGAACAGCTGCAGTCGTCCAGATCAAGCGATGCCGCTTCGCCTACCACATTTGCCCGCAACACAGAAGTCGTCCTGGAACGCTGGACCGTGGAGCTGATACCCGGCAGCTTCCCACCCACCGAAGACTTTGGTCCCATCCTCCCAACCATCTACAAGAAGGCTATTGTCTTTTTCAGATCCCTCTTTGTTACTACCAGACTCTTACCAGCCTGGAAGTTCACTAGCCAGGGGAGGGCAAAAGGCTGCGTTGCCGCGCTCTCCCCTCGTTGCAGAATTCTTCTGCAACGTCCCAGCAGGAAATCCCCGGACCTGTTGAGGGCCCCCATCGATGGCAGACCCGACCCTGTTACAGAATACATGTTTGGAGATTTGGATGTCCCAGTCGGTCGTTTGAGTACGTCGGTCACGTACAGAAACGAATGCAGCTTTAGAGTCGATGACGCCGAGTCGCTGCTGAGTTCCAGGTTCATGGGCATTGATGAGAACTACTTCAGGCCTTCCATACCCCAAAGAGTCAGTTCACCAGGGGTCACACAACCAGAGGTTGGCTCGCTACGAGATCATCGAAGAAGGACTAGCATCGGTGATGTTCAGCAGACCTACGGGAGCCTATCAACCTTCCATGGCGACGGGCCCCTGGGAACCAGCCCCATGTCTGCTCTCAGATCCGTCAAGGTTCCTGGCTCTGACACGAGCTCGCCACCAGCCTCTTTACCAAAGCAGTCGGACTTTGATGCTCCCAAGTCACTGCCCATTGGCACCAGGGGCCAAACCAGTCGCCATGGAACCCGACCTGATGGATCTGCCAGAAGACCATCCATCTCGTTTCAACCATTCAAGGCCGGCTCTCTTTCTGGCTCCCCTGTACCTCGATCTCTTGAACCAGAATCGCCGGCGTCGCTGCAGGGCCGGACGCCAGCTTTCCCGACGATGCAGCCTAGGCAGCGAACATCGTTGACAGCTGGTATGCCAGCATCTCTGCGGGGCGGGCCTCCACAACAAACAGACGTTCCCGTTATCGGTTCGCCACGCCCCTCCTCTTCAAACCGCTACAGCAGTAGTTTCACACATCGACGAAATCGCCCATCCATTAGCGGACCAAGCCGCGGAGGGCTCGATGATGAGCAGGGTAGCAGTGGGAGACAGAGTCTTGCCTCCTCGGTCGCTCAGCCCGGCTCCGGGTTCCTGGCTGAGCCGGATAACGCTAGTTCGGGGTCGCTGCCTGCCGATGACGATGGCATCTCGGACTTCTTGAAAGTTCTAGATAGCAGGAAGACACTGAAGAGTTTCGAACCAACAAAACGGGACTCAGCGGCGAACAAGACCGTTGCGCAGCTGTCTAGGTTTCACCTAATGCGGGAGTCGAACAATGCATTGGGAGATTCCATGACTTCGTCCATGCAACTGCAGCGTTCCTCGAGTTCGTCGAGTCGACAGTTGACAAGTATACCTGGAATGGTTGCGCCGGCGTCCATGTCGCCATCTTCATCGTCACCTGGCAAGCCCATCTCACCGCACACCCCCCATACACCCGCGATCCCATCACGCCTTAGCGAAAACTCGATAGTCGATCATTCCGAGGAGCGCTCCAGAGCAGTTTCTCGAGCAACACGTCCCCAAGGCCCATCGATTCCGGAGTCAAGTCGTCAAAGCACCATCACCCAGGAGGGTGCCACTGCCATTGACATACCGCTGTCACCTCGCCTCGGCTTACATCAAAGACGATCAAGCTCAGTTGCGCAGCAAACTAGGGCTACGGGTGATGACGAGGAAACGGATTCAGCTTTTGCGAATCGAAGTGTCAGCTTGGGAGCAGAGGACAGAGAGCCCCCGACTCTTAGTACGCTCCTTGGCCGCCAAATGCAGCTGGATGACGAATCTACTGCACGGGAAAGTCCGCCTAGTAGCCTACGTCCCGCCCCAGAGATCCGATCTACCAGTGTCTCAATGGCGATGCTCCGCGGATCTACAGAAGAAACACCCCCAGACGGCTTAATTTCTGTTGCACAGTCTTCGTCGCCGTTTCAACGGAAGCGGTATGCCGGCATGAGCGCTGGCCGTGGCCAAACGCCTCCGCCACAGTCTACGCAGCCTGCTCGAGGCAGCTACACGGGTAGTTCCAGCAGCCGCCTTGTCCGTGGCGACGATGAGTCGGTCGGCGACGAGCCCCTCATGTTTACGCTGTCGGAGATGGATGCCCAGGGTCGTCGCAGCATAGAGGAAGGGCGGGGCAGTGTAAATACAGGAAGCAACAACGGCTCAGAGAGGGCCATGTTTGAGCCTCGCGGCACTACCAGAAGAGGTTGGTAAATTGAATTTGGACATACCGAAGCATGGAAAAATGTACAAAGGAGATGGGATATTGTCCCCATCACGATAACAGCTTGGTATAGAATAAATGATATAACGATGGCACCTCTGCAAGTTCCCCTTGTTGTCCTGGTAACGCGGCCCCTGATTTTGCGGTTTCTGAGTATCAGACACTCGCTGCTTAATGCATATTAAATGGATGGTGGTAGCTGTGCAACACCTACTGCGGCAGCCGTACGAGCACCTAAATTGAGAAGGAAGGTGAGCGACTTAAAAATAGAAAAGAAAGTTAAGATGGTCAGGACAGCCAGGAAAGTCCAGATAGTCCAGATAATCCAGATAGTCCAGATAGTCCAGATAGTCCAGATAGTCCAGATAGTAACGACAGTAAAGATAGGTGGTCGCGGCCCGTGCCGAAGGACTGGGCGTTAGCACCAAAGCAAAGCAGGAAATTGATCCAGGCCAGGACAACGCCGAGGAGCAGACTTAGGACGAAGAAGTCTCCTCCATGTCATCAACAGACGATGACGACGCGGGGAGCGACAAGGCCAAGCCAGAGAGAGAGTCACTCAACGAGGAAAGCGCCAAGGACATCGACAGCGATGATTTGCCCATGGCCGAAAGACGCAAGACCAAGAAGCAGATCGGCAAAAGGAAAATCCAAGAGGCCAATGCTGACAAGCCGGTCACCCCCAGAGTCCAAGATCAATGTCGAAGACGAGAGCAAATAAAGAGACAGACACCGTGCCATCAGAAAGAAGGATAGGTAGGATAGGGACAAAGAAAAACAGACACATGACGCTTTATAAAGGAGACGGTGGAATGCTTTTTGTTCTCTGAGACGCCTAATGTAGCTATATAAAATATCAAGCAAGATGGTATCAAGAAATTATGACCCTAAACATAGCAGAATAAGTAGGCCCAAAATAGAAATGAGAAAGCCCCTTTCTACTTCTTTTCGTCCTTGTCGTCGTCATCATCCGATTCCTCGCTTCCTTCTTCATCGTCGTCCATCTCCCAATCCTGAACCGGCCGGCGGCCTTGCACGACCGGCGCGGCGCCGGCATCGTTGCCCTCACCATTGTCGTCGTTATTGCTATCGTCGTCATCCTTGACCGTGATCGTGCTGCTGCCCCGGAAAAACAGGCTCGACTCGGGGTCCACGGAGCCCGCAGAGGCGGTGTACGGCGGCATGGTCGAGAGCCGCCGGGGCGACAGGGGCCCGAAAAACAGCGAGGGGCTCCAGAGCCGGCCGTCGGCCAGAGGTGAGCCGCCGCCGGCACCGTCGGGTGAGGTCCCGGCCATGGCCGCGCCGTGGCCCTGTCTGCCGCCATAGGTCATTTCGGCGCCATCCTGCTCCGCGTTGAGGGGCGCGTCGGACATGGCCACGCCCTCGTCGTCGTCGTCGTCGTCGTCGTCCACGACAATGACGGGGGGGCCGCCGGGCGGGGGTCCGTCACTGTCGTCGGAGCTGTCGCCCGGACTGTCTTGATCGCTGCCGTGGCCACTATCATTGGGCTCTTCGTGCACGTCCACCCTCCCGTCGTCCCTCTCCGGCTCCATGTGAACAGCGTACTCCACCGCGCAAACCTCCGCCTCGGAGGGCACGTAGGCGGCGCTCAGCGCGCAGAGGTGGCGGAACCGCGCCATGCGCTCGTCCGCGGGCGCCTTGGGCCGGCCCGTGACGTCGTTCATCTGCGCGATAAAGTCGTGGTCGCGGATGCAGCGGTTCGCCGCGCCGCCGTTGAGGAACTCGTCGTAGTCCCAGAACTTGACGGCGTGCGTGCCGCGCAGGCACCACATGTTGTCCATGCCTTGGACGGTGTACATGTTGCGCTGCTGGCGAAAGTTGGCCTGGTTGATCGTGTGGTTCTTGTCGAAGCGCACCTTTCCGAGGATCTCGTGCCGGCGGCGCATGTGCGCCGGGTCGCTGGCGCGCAGGTAGACGCCGACGCGCTTGAGGCGGCGCGCCTCGGGCAGCCAGGAGAGCGGCTGGCTCCGGCGCGAGACGAAGCGGCCGGAGCGGTTGATCTTGAAGAGGACCTCGAAGGAGCCGATCCAGAACAGCTCGATGTCCTGGACGCGCTGCAGGCGCGGGCCGATGCCGCGGGCAAAGCGGCCCAGCTCGCCGAGAGACGAGAAGCAGAACCGGTTCAGCCCGTAGAACAGGTTAGTGGCGATGTAGTGCCACTGCCTGCTGACCAGCAGTGGCGCCAGCAGCTCATTGGGCTTCTGGGCGTAAGTCAGGCTGAACGGGCCCTCGCCGACGAGAAAGCGTCGCAGAAGCCGCAGGTGCGTGCCCTCTGGGTCCAGTTCGTCGTTGGGACGGGCGAGGACGTGGGTTTCGTCGGGGAACTGATGCTCGTCGAGCCGCGAGACGACATGCACCGGCTCGCCGGGGAAGACGAGAGCATACTTTAGTATCTTGATTAGAATGTCTTGTGGGAATGGCCTCTCGAAATGGACCTGGACGGACACAGGTTCGTCGCGCGCCTCGCCGGCCAGGCTCTCTCGCTGGGCTGCGAGCTCTGCCGCGAGCTCGTTGGTATTCGGCGCTCTAAGGCGCAGCATAGGATGAAGCAATGTGGAGGAATTTTCTTCTCTGCATGAGAGTTTGTAAAGATTGGCGTACGATAAACTCTCCTCGTTGCCTCGGAGCATCATGGCAAGCTTGGTTTTCCAGGTCTAATTCTCGGGTTAGCATCCTCTTGCAACGGCGTCGTCGGCCTTCAAGACTCAGCAACTCACTTACCGTTTGGACTTTCCTCGTCCTGTCTCGATTTCGGGATCGCTGCTCCAGCTCACTAAGCTGCTCCCTGGCTTCCCGTAGCCGGGCCCTAGCCAGAGTTCCCGCGACTTGGGCTCGAAGCAGATTTCGTCGGAGTCGTTTGAGCCTCAGCTTTCTTCGAAGTGCAGTCTCTCTTCTGTCTTTGAAAGGCAGTTCGCACGATTTCAAGCAATCTCCTTGGAAATCGACGTCCGGCTGCGAGTCATTGCTGTCATCATCACTGTCAGTGATGTATTCGAGCTGCGGTTCATCCATGGTGGACGAGCAGAGGAGAAGAGAAGGAGTGTAAGGGGAGAGGGGGGAGGAATGAATCTAAAGTAGGAAGAAGAAAGGAAGGGGGGAGGAGGGTAAGGAAGAAAAGGGATGAATTTATAGTAGGATGAAAGAAGAGGTGTTGGCTGGCAGCTGCGCGATGTGTTGGTTTGCAGTTGCACGCAGCTGGCAACCAACCAAACGGAGAACGGAGAACTGCCAGAGATTCTGTTTCATTTTCTTCTCCTTTCCCCAAGGCTTTCTTGACATTTCCACCTCTCGAGGACCTCCCCTTCCACTTCCAAACACATTCACTCCCCCTCCCCCAGCTCCCCCCTCCTCTCCTGCCAGAAGCCCTTGCCATAGCTCACCAGAATCTCCTCTCCCTTTCTGATCCCATCCTTCTTCTTCCTCCCACCACCTCCGCCGCCTAGCACCCACACGCCGACGCACATCTCCCCCCAACGCTCGCACCAGGCCCGCCGAAACTCCGCGTTGGGCCGCTCCGCGACGCCACGGTAGTCGTTGACGAAGCGCGCCTCGTTGCCCTGGCGTGCAGCGTCCACGGCGGCGTCGGCGTCGCGGTCCAGCCACAGGTCGTAGTCGGAGGCGGCATCGGCGCCGGCGGTAGAGTGCACGCGGCCGAGGTAGGCGAGGACGAGGCTGCCGGGGGCGAGGTCGCGCGCGGCGAAGAGGCCGCGCTGGCCGCGGGCCGGGTGCGAGGCGGCGGAGGCGGGGATGGGCTGGATCTTGACGCGCGGGCACGGGAGGGGCGTTTCGGAGGCGGATATGATGGGGGGAGTGTCGGCGGAGGAGGAGGAGGTTGGCTTGGTTCGGATGGCTGCGAGATGGGCAGGTGTCAAGTCTTTGCCGTGGAGCGGGGCCGTGAGGTAGGGAAGATGGTCGGGCCAGTTCTTGGGCAGCGGCGACATGATGAATGATGCTAGGGTTTTGTAGGTAGGTATCTATGAATGTATGTAGGCAGCAGACACCAGAATGAGATGAGGTTACGAGGTAGTTGAAAAGCCAAGGGGAGCGGGTACTTTCCAGCACGTCGGCAGATGTCGCTTTGAAAGTCGTGTCTCGCGCTAGAATTTTTTGAAGAGTCTTTAATTTTGCTATTTTTCTTTGTCCTTTATTATGTTCATGTATTTCTCTGTCCTTCTTGTCCTTTTTATATTCGTTATCCATCTTTTTCCACCTACATCTTGTATTCCTACCCTATATCGCATCATCCCTCTTTACTCAAAAGTCACTTTAATCATAATAATCCCAATATCATCATGTTTTATTGCTCTCCCACTAATTCCATCAATCAAGTAACAGTCAAATGTGCTGCCGCTGCTCCTGCACGAAAATGAGCACCGCCCGTGGTGATGATGATCATGGCCCGCTGGGATCGTGAGGGTGGCGCTCCGTGCAGGCTACGCTGAACGCTATCATGGCCCCGTGCTTCTCATCCGCAGTGCATTTCACGTCCATGCAGTCGGTGACAAACGGTCGCATTATCTCCTGCGCCTCCCCGCCGCACAGGCACTGATTGTCAACCACGCTGCATTTAGTCTTCCTGACGGCGCTCAGGACGCAGTGGCGCTGTGGAACGAAGAGGGGTTAGCTGATGGGACAGATGATCACGGCGCCCCTATTCAGTCGATAGGAGTAGTCAGGCTGGGTCTGGTGAAAATGAAAAGACTCACGGCGCAGGCGGGGAGGAGAAAAATGTTGAAACCGGCGGCGGCGAGGCCGGAGAGGGAGGCGAAGACGAGAGCGGCCTTCATTGTTGCCTGGTTGTGATGGGGGCTGACGATGACGGTGAAGCAAAAAGCGACGGGCTTTTTATAGGAAGAGGAGTGCGGCGGTACGTTTTGTTTATATAGGTGACCTACTGATTGCGGTCTCGACGCGGAGGACTGTTGACGAGGCCAATGTTGTTGGTCGGCCAGGTATAGATGGCCGGAGCAGTATTAGTGCGCCACACTTTCTCAATCCATCACAATTACAGACGTAGAAGAAATGACTGGAATCATGCTATCGTTGGGTTTTAGCAGAAATGGGTATCACGATCCATATATGGCGTCAGGGCGCCACCGCCGTAGGTTTGGGCCGGACCTCAGTTGGTGCTCTGTTAATCGCTGTCCCGGCTTAGTATGGAAGACATTCGAAAACAAAAGAGAGAACTGGGTCAAGTTGTAGCTTCTTATATGCTCAACTGGTCTATTTTGTGTACCGCATCTAAGCAAGCTATCGTAGTTTCAGTTTCGGGTCCCATCGTCGCGCCCACACCTTTTTCTTTTTTTCATATATACAGAAGGTAGCTTCTCTGGGCGCGTCGTCATTCTCTTCCTCTCCTTGCTCCTCCAAACAAGTCTTTGCTGTCATGCTCTACACAACATTGATATTGTATTTGCTCAAATAGGCTGCAAAAAGAACAAAAAACTCACTGCTTCCATGGTCAGTGGACAGCGTTAAACCTGCCACTGGCGGAAGGTGTCCATGACCGTGGTGAAGACGACGAGGAGAATACCGCCTCCAGGGCCAAGACGCAGGACCTATGGGCACGAAGAGTTAGCAAAGGTGAACATGTGCACGAAAATGCTTGGTTTCGCATACCTTGGGGAGGAAGCCCTTGTAGAGAGCACCGAAGCCCTCCTCCTTGAAGACGGTCACGACGCCGGGGAAGGCCCAGTTGTACTTGGGGATCTGACCGGGGACCTTGGGTGTGTTTTGGATTCTGCTCTTGACGACGTCCAGGGGGGTGTTGAGAATGGTGCCGACAGTGCCGCCGACGGCGCCCGACATGAGGTCGTTGGTCATCTTGCCGCTCTTGGTGTCGGCCTTGGGAAGCATCTGGCGGACCTGGAAGATGCAGCCAAAGTAGCCAGCGTTCCAGAGGATGTGGCGCCACATGGTGGACTCAAGGCCCTGGTACATGGTGAGGATGCCCTCGTTGCGGACCGTTTTGACGACGCAGTCGACCATACCCTTGTACTTGCCGGCCGAGGCCTTGTCCTGGAGGCGGATCTTGACGAGCTCAAAGGGGACGACGACGAAGGACTCGGTGGCACCGGCGGTGGCTCCGGTGAGGATGGAGAGGGACTGGTTCATCTGGTTGACGCCAAACATCTTGCGGTAGACCTTGCCCCATTCATCGTTGGCGGCGAACTTGGTGGCTCGCTTGGGCGCCTCCATGAGGATGGGGGCGGAGATGCCGCGATAAAGGCGGGAGAAGCTGGGATGGGGGTCAGCGGACTGCCGTGTTGCTCATCTTTGTGTTGATGGCTGTGGCTGAGGCATACCCTTCATTCTTGATAATCTTGCGGAAGCAGTCGACCATGCCATTGTAGCTCTCGCCGGTGCCGGTGCCGGTTTGCAATTGACTGCTCGTAGATTAGAATTATGTCTCTTGGGAAGGGCATCGACGAAAGGCGCGGGAGAGCAAGCATACACTCGGGTCTTGACGACGTCCAACGGGTACCTGGGCGCGTAGGCGGTTAGCGGGGTGATCTCGGCGAGTTCGGCGTCAATGCCGGCAGGGTTGGCGCAAGGCGAGAAAGGCTCACATGACCAGAATCTAAAGAGAAATGAGTCTGTATTCACTTTAGTGGTTATCGACAGGGAAAGTTACCTCAGAGACACCGGCAATCGCGCCTGCGGTAGAAAAATGTTAGCCATTCAGGTGTCAACGGCAGAGGTCGCAGGTGGCACGAGGGCGACGACAAATGGGCAGGCAGGCGGCACGTACCGGCGGCGAACTGGTAGACAAAGGGAAGGGGCTTTTCCTCGGCCATGTTTACGGGTCGCGACTGGAATTGAGAGTTTTTGGCGTGGAAGACAGTAAAGAAGCGGCGACGATGTTGCGAGGGAAAAACGGCTCCAACGGTGAAAGGTCGGAGAGAGGGCGCACATGGTGGACAGAGAAGTAAGCCCGAGACAAGATCTGCGTGCCACAAGAGTTTAGCCGGGTGGTGACAGGGGCCCTTCTTTTTTGGCTGGCTGGCTGGGCCGCTGCCAGTTGTACCCATTTCCAGGGACTGAACCTTGAACTCCAGGGCCCAACCGCCTGATAAGAACAAGACGATGCGCTAAAAAAAGATGCAGCACAGTAATCTGACCCCAGTCGCGGGGCCTGGTAGAGATGGTGCGCACGCGATGTGTGCAAAAAGTAAGTCAGCAAGGATAATGGTAGTAAGAATACGGGGAAACTGGGGGCAAAGGATTTTACTAGGCATGTACGAATTGTGTACTAACGAATTTCATCTGAACGTGCAGCCAGCTGTATAAGATCCATATGCATGCAGACAGCTTTGTATTGACGGATTTGTCGCTACCTTGTAAGTACGAGGCCACACACCCGCCAACCGTACTTGAGAGATGCTTCCTGCCCGTTCTTGCCAGGCCAGCCACCACTCCCCAATTTAATGTATGGCTGCATTGAAGTCTAACACCTCACGAGTCGTCGACCAACCGACGGCCAATTTTATGCTTTATTTCATCATAATCACAGATATTTGCCCCTATTCTGGGAATGTTGTCGCACGCCTCAGTTGCAGCAACTGCCGCCAACAACGCCCCGGCCCTGTCCTCATCACTCACGCGTCACGTAAATAGGCGCAGGAGCCGTGCAAGCGTCCGAAAATAAACATCACGAGGCACGCCAATACAGCGGCTCCGCATGCAGCAACGGGCAAATAAAAGCCAGCGCTCGCCGACATGTGTCTACCTTATTAGTAGGTAGTCCAACGAGCTGACGCGACTGCCCGCATGCGCCACTGAGAAACCCAATCGAACCTCGAGGGTAGCACAGGTGGCAGCCCTGCCAGGTCATTGGCCAGCGAGGGGAATGGCGCTGTAAGGGCCACTGTTGTGCCGAGTTCTACTGGTTGACCAGCACCTGCCTACTGTGCCTTACCGTAAAACCCGGGGCATGCAAGGTTTCGGTACACCCATGGCACCTCTACCCCGCTGCTTCATCCGCCCTGATCACATGTATTTGCCAGGTAGCAGAGGCAGCTCCTGCCAGGGCTTGCCCGCGACGCGCAAAGAGAACCACCCCCACCATCCTCGCATTACATACATTAATTAAACCGCATCATCGCGACAACCTGCCCGTCTCGTCCTCGTTCTTCCATACGCAGCGCACTCCCATCCGACCCCTTCACTATTCTGCTTCAAAACTTACGCCAGCCCCTTGAGTGCGCCTCTTCAGCTTCTCTGACAACCCTCCCTCCGATATTTCCGTCTACTCCGGCCCCTCAATTCCAACAGCTCCGCCGCATCGTCAACCGCCGCCTCCGACCGCGCGACACGTACACCAGGCCAGCGCCCTCCCTGTCAACCAAACAAGCTCTTCGTCACGCTTCAAATTGCACCTTTAAATACGCCGTGGTCCCCCGAGAACCACAGCGAGGTGCCCTTGCAAGCGTACAGGGCTCGTTTCTGACCTCCCGACCGGCCGATGAGTCACCTGCTGTGGAAATATTACTGGGAAAACGATGTCGACAGGTTTCGACGTCTATTGGACCCTGCCGCCGCGGCAGCGCCTGCCGGATCCAAGAGCCCAGTGATTGGCAGTGCCGGATGGCCCAGCCCGGGTGGCCTTAGCTCTTCGCCGCGCCTCGCGCCCAAGTCGCGCAAGGCTGCCACCAGGTTTAAAGATTCCACCAACACCATTGGAAGGGCCGAGATCAACAGTCGCGACCATTCTGGCCTCACGATCCTGCTGCGCGCCGCCTCCTCGACCGACCCCACCGCTCGAGACTTTGTCCACGCCCTCGTCGAACACCCCGCCATCGACCTATGTGTACAGGACCCCGAGAGCGGCTGGAATGCCCTCCACCGGTCTCTGTACAGTGGCAATGTCTCCATTGCGCGCATCATTCTTGCCAAAGAACGCGAAAACATCCTTTCCGGAACCACCTCATCCACCGGCCGAGTCGGAAGACTCATCAAGACCAAAGATCACGAGGGAAACAGCCCCTTCGACGTTTACAACTCGACAATCGCGACTCGGTCCTTGAACCGAGGCCAGCTTAATGAGGATTCTGACAATGAGTCCGACAGTGGCGAAAGCACGGCAGACTACAACGAACTGTAAGCTGAATCCTTGCGCTCTGAATCTCTCGACCACTTGTTAACCTCCTCGAACAGCGCGAAGTCTGTCCAATTAGCCGCGTCATCCAATGACGGCGACGAGCTTTTTGTGTTTGGGAGCAACAGAAACATGTCTCTTGGAGTTGGTGACGAAGATGACCGCCAGTATCCCGAGCGTATCCACCTCCAGCGCCCAGACGGCCTCTTGCGCCACTTGTACGAGTCCTATCTCGGACAGGAGGATGCTGAACTGATCGCTTCCTCGTTGGAGATCGAGGATATCCCCATCATGGTTCGCAGTCTCCCTCTTCTCATTCAAGACATTGCCATGTCAAAGCTCCACACGGCCGTCTTGACGACCGATCCTGTTAGCAACCTCTTCATCGCCGGTCTTGGTCGAGGTGGACGTCTTGGCCTTGGAGATGAGAATACCCAATTCAGGTTTGTCCCAGTTCAGGGCCCTCTGGCAGACAAGAAGATTCGACAAGTCGCTCTCGGGCAGAATCACTCTATGGCCATCGCTGGCAACGGCGAGCTCTGGACCTGGGGCCTTAACTCCGATTCGCAGCTAGGATACGCGTTACCCCCTCCGACGCGGGCTGATGAGGAGCCCATGAGCTTAATACCACGCCAAGTTTTTGGTACGCTCAAGAAAGAAATCATTCAAGGCGTTGCAGCCTCGACTCTCCACTCAGTTGCTTATACTGGAACTTCACTCTTCTGCTGGGGGCGCAACATTGGACAGCTCGCGCTCATGGACGCCGACTCTCGATCGCTTGACATCCAGACCACACCACGCAGAGTAGCCGCGTCTCTTTTGACGGCGCCGATTGTCATGGTATCGGCCATTGACAAGGCGACCACCGTCTTGTTGGCTAATCACAACGTTTGGGTATTTACCAACTATGGTTACAACTTGGTCAAATTCCCAACTCCTGACGTCTTTGCCAACCACAATCTCACGTTTTACGCTACTAGACGCGAGACGGGGAGAAAAGACATCGTTTCCATCGCATCTGGTGGAGACACCATTGCTGCCGTCACATCTCGGGGCGATCTGTTTACCATGAGCGTCAATAGCAAAGGCGACTTGGATCAACCCAACGGATCTACTACAAACCCCTCCAAGATCAAAGGCGCAGTTTCACAACCTCAGTGCGTGTGGGATTCTCGCAAAGACGGTGTCACATCCATGAGCGTTGGAGAGCATGGCTCTGTCATCATCTGCACCGAGTCTGGCGCTGTATGGAAACGAGTGAAGCGTACCAAAGGAAACCTGTTGTCCGGTGCTGGTGCGAAAAAGAAAGACTTCAAGTTCGAGCGTATCCCCTACATTACCAATTGTACCAAAGTGCGAAGTTCGACTTTTGGTGCCTTCGCTGCCATTCGAAAGGACAGCAAGGTCATGGCCGAGGAAATTTCGGTTGCGAAGCCATCCATTTGGGAGGACATTGGCTCCCTCCTCTGCTTGAACGACTTTGAGGCATCCATGGCTAAGCCTGATCCGAAGGACCCGAGAAAGGCCTGGGACAAGGCAATTGCCAGAGAAAAGCACAGCCATGTTGTTCACGAACTGCTGAAATCGTCAGATCTTGAATCGGACCTTGCGTACATGCTTGACTCGACACAATTTGACAATATTGACCTTCGGGTCTGCACTACGGCCACGCCCGATATCAAGATTCCGGTGCACGGCTGGCTACTCTCTGCTAGGAGTCCCGTCGTGCTTGGTGCCCTTTCCAAGTTTCGCCGGGGCGGCGGCGGCCAATCAAACGAAGATGTCTTTACACTAAGCGAAGATGAGGGCAGTATTCTTGTGACTTTCCAGCAGATTGATATACTCACCCTGCTGAATGTTGTGCTTTTTGCATATCTCGACACAACGATGCCCGTTTGGAAATACACCAAAGAAGCGATCCCCCTTGCCCACCGCCACCGACAAGTCAGAACCGAACTTATGAAACTGGCAACGAGGCTGCAAATGCCGAAGCTGGAGAGCGCGGCCCGTCTACAGGGGAGCGTTGAGCATTCATTGGACTCGGATCTTCAAAGCGCCATTTCCGATAAGCGTTTCTTTGAGGATGGTGACATCTTGGTACAACTGGATGGCGAGGACATACCTGTTCATAGTCAGCTTGTTTGCCAGAGATGTCCCTTTTTCGAAGGCATGTTTCATGGACGCTCGCAAGGTGGATGGCTCACAACCAGACGTCTGGGTCAAACTGCTGAGGACCTTATAGAAGTCGATCTTCAGCATGTCAACCCGGAAACATTTATGATGGTCATACAGTACATCTATGGTGATGTTGGCGAGGACCTCTTTGAGGACGTGACGTCTGCATCTCTCGATGAGTTTTCTGAAACTGTCTTGGACGTCATGGCCACTGCAAACGAGCTGATGCTCGATCGACTTTCACAGTCCTGCCAATCTGTTATCGGAAAGTTTGTCACCACGCGGAATATTGCCAACTTGCTCAACGAAATTAGTCCCTGTTCGGTCACTGAGTTCAAGGACGTTGGACTAGAGTACATTTGCTTGCAGCTGGAAAACATGCTGGAGAACGGTAACCTCGACGGCATGGACGAAGAGGTACTCTTGGATCTTGATGAAGTTGTGCGCGAGAATCAGCTTGCCCGTTTACCCTTTGTGCGAAGTGGACGTGCAGAATTGCTTCTGCATGAGAAGTACCCAGATCTCCTCGTCGATATTGAAGAAGAGCGCCAACGCCGGGTAAAGGAATTCGCTTTCAAGGCCACCCAACGCCAACGAGATGAGGAGAAGAAGCTTTCTTCATCCTACCGTGCGCGCTTCGGCAGCTTGGATGAGGTGGCAGCCTTTCCCAGAACGCCCGATGCTGGTCGACGCAAGTCAAACTTCGCCCGAAACGAGCCCTTCAGCCCCAATCTTCGGCCCAAAGAATCGCATGGAGATCTCATCTTTGATATGGACGAAGATGTGGCCAAGTATGGCGCTGCATCTTCTCCCGGTGCGCTGTCTCCTATTCCTCCGCTAGATCTGGATGTGGAACCTATGGCTCAACTTCCTGAGGCTGCTTGGCAGCAGCCCAAAAAGAAGCATTCGGTCTCATTCTCCAAGTCGCCCAGCTCCTCTGCCCCCATTCCGGCGATGTCAACATCTCGAAAGTTGGACGGAACCCCTCTTACGCCGCTTACTAATTCAGCGCGGAAAGCAAGCGGCCCTTGGGCCTCGCCGGTGCTGTCCACTACGAAGTTAGATCTACGAGGAATCATGTCTGAGGCATCTCCGAAGCCAACATCTGCACTGGCGGCAAGTCTAGCGGCTGCATCCAAGGATGCGCCGTCGCCAAAGGCTCCGGTAAAGATGTCACAAAAGGAACGCAAGAGACAAATGCAGAAGCACGCAGAGCTCCAAGTCTCGGCAGAAAATGAAAAGATCAGCAGTAAGCCTTGGCAGCCAGTATCATCAGGCGGCAGTCCAGCGCCATGGAAGGCCGCATCGCCCGCCCCCAAGGTATCGCTACAGGAGGCCATGGCTTTCGAGTCGCAAAAGCGCGGGCTGGTTCCCAATGCCAAGCCTCTTGTTGCTGCCGAGACGGAGCGTGAGGTCAAGCGCCGCACAGCGTCGCCAGATACCAAGTTTTCCGGGCAGAACCGCAACCGACGCGCGGCAGCAGACTCGCCGGCGTCGACTAGCAAGCAAGCGGCAAGCCGACTCGTCCCGCACTCCAAGTCGTACATTACGCGGGAGCGCAAGGAGGAGCCGCTGGCTGGGGCGACGTTGGCCGACATCATCGGGCAGCAGGAGCGCGAGCAGGAGCTGGTCAAGGAGGCTGTGGCAAAGCGATCCCTGCAGGAGATTCAGCAAGAGCAGGCGTTCCAAGAGTGGTGGGACCAGGAGAGCCGCCGCGCGCAGGAGGAGGAGCAGCAGCGCTCAGCGCGGCCGGCGCGGGAGAGAGGCGACGGAGGCGCTGGTAAGCGCGGGAGAAGAGCCCGTGGCGGCGGCGGCGGAGGAGGGGCTAGCACTGGTCATGCTGGTGCTGGTTGGAGCAAACCGAGCAAAGGCAAGGAAGCCGCCGACAAAGGAGAGACACCACGCAGGGCAACGCCGGGCTCCAGGTCGCGTGGAGGAGACAAGGTTGCAGCTGGCAAGGGCGCAGCTGGGAGAGGTGGCAAGAAGTGAGAGGGGGTTGGTTGACGTGTAAATATGAGGGGTTTTTGAATCTTGGCGCTGGGTGATTTGTTAAATACTTTGGCGTTTCATGGCTGCTTACTTATAGTTGAACAGCCAACCTCGATACAGGACTTCAAGGGATTTGTTTATTTGTTTTGGTAGAAGTTATTGTTACTATATACGAATTATTGCTAGAGGCTGTCATGTGGCTTGCTTGTATTGTAAGTAGGACAAGTTAATCGGCTGGCTATGTAAAAGGCTTACCTATAATCTTGAGTGCTTGCATACGTCTCGCGCTGCAATTTCAACTTTATAGTTATGTATATTATTTTCAATGTTTTTACTCTTCCTATCTTTCTTGTCTTTTTCATCTTTTTGATATTCCCAGTCTTTTTTATCCTTTTTATCCTTTTTTATCTTTTTTAAATCTTTTTTTATCTTTTTTACCTTGATTACTATTTGTATGTCTTCTCTTGACGAGAACTCCCTAGAGTCGTATGCAGTAGACACAACCTTTGAAAGGGACACCTGTAACTTTGGTTGATGCTTGCTTGTTTGTACTGAATACCAAGCGGCAGCGTCTCGCGCCAAGATCGTGGCAGTGCCTTTTTGAGTTGCCCTTTGGGCGAGTTTATCCAGTTCGGAACTTGCCAACACATTGGGCGTCGGGCTTTTTTTTTTCCCAGTCAGTCATTATTCGGTTTGGCGTCGTCATCTCTCAGGTACATACATAGATGTAGTACATGGAGGTACTATGTTGCAAATCAGTCTCGCCTTTTTTTCTTTTGCCACGCGGCTCACCACCTCCTGAGGTACCAGTAGATCAGTTATTCTGTCATCGGCCTCGTCTTAAATGCAAACGTGAAATCGATGTAGAATTCCGTAGGTATGTAATTATCATCACAATAGACTCGCAAATGCCCGCCATCTGCACACCACCAGGGCTGCAGCAGCTGGCTGGCAACATCAGCCCACTCAGCCATGCATCACCGTTATTTGCTGACACCGTGGTTCCGTCCAGCTGTGCGACCTGCGAGCCCATGAAATCAATTGCCTGGTGCTGCCAATTACGAGTAAGTTGGGGAGGCAAATTGATGACGACTCCAGCCTAAAATAAAGACTATGAGGGCAGTCACACGAGGCAGCGGCGACAGCCTTTTAAAGTTGCGCTACAGCAGAGTTGTGCACTGCAGTGGGTTGTGCGCTGTAGAACCCCCCTATAACTGCCCTAAAACCAAGTGGTAGCGCCAAGAAGAGCACCAGCCAACGTTGTAATAATAAGGTCCCCTCTTTCTTTCTGCCTTCCTTCTATATATGCATGTACTGTAGGTACATACATACATTAGTAGGTACCTTCCTTTCTCTCATTCCAAGCCACAACCCACCACGAGTCACGACTTGGCCCAAGCCTGGCGCTACTGAATTAATTATCCCCGACCTCTCCAAGCCATTCTCCGCCAACCCAACGCTCATATCGCCAACCTCTTCTTCCCCTCCATCATCGCCATCAGCACCCGCGCCAGCCCAACACCAAACCCATCGCCTTTTCCCTCCTTGAAACACTGCGTCCGCCAGCGATTTCTCCCTTTCGCCGCCTCCAGACACAAAAAAAAAAGCCCGCGCGACACCATCGATTCGACAGCCCCGGCGGCTCGGCTTAGCGTCGGCGTGGCAGTGACGACGCTCGCGGCGCTCCAAAAACCACCGCTTGCCACTTTCTCCAGCCATACTGGCACCCTTCCGCAGCAACCGCAAGCTCCTCTCGCGAGGCATCACAGTCGCCCACCATGTCCAAGGTTATGCGGAGCATCAAAAATGTCACCCATGGGTACTCTAGCATCCAGGCCAAGGTCCGCGAAGGTTCGTTTTTTGTCCCGCCCACCGTCGCAGCTGTCCAGCGCCTCCATCTCCGGCCACCACCATCACGCTGCCCGTCTCCCCTGCGCATCCCGTTCTGACTCTCCTTCTCTTTCCCGACAGCGACCAGCAACGACCCATGGGGCCCGACCGGCACGCAAATGAGCGAGATTGCTCAAATGACCTTCAACACGTAAGTGCACCTGCGCCCGCCTCTTGGCCGCCCTATGCCTCCCTCTCCTGTCGCGGCATATACGTGCGGGGCTCGCAACTGACCATGCTCGCCACCCGACCAGTTCGACCGAGTTTTACGAAATCATGGACATGCTCGACAAGCGCCTCAACGACAAGGGCAAGAACTGGCGACACGTTCTCAAGGCCCTCAAGGTCCTCGACTACTGTCTGCACGAGGGCTCTGAGCTCGTAGTAACCTGGGCCCGCCAGAGCCTTTACGTCATCAAGACTCTACGCGAGTTTCAGTACATTGACGAAGACGGCCGCGATGTTGGCCAAAACGGTACGATATTGACTTGAATGCGCTCCAAACAAAAAATCAATCAAGACTTCTGGCTAACTCACCCGACTCAACAGTCCGCGTCGCTGCCAAGGAACTCACCTCTTTAGTTCTCGACGAGGAACGCCTTCGTGCCGAGAGGACCGACCGAAAGTCCTGGAAGTCTCGGGTTACCGGTCTCGAGGAATTTTCCCCCGAACACATGGGCTCTTCCTCGCAGCCCCAGCGCAGGCCCAACCGACGCCCGCAAAACGAGGACGAGGACGCCGAATACAGGCTCGCCCTAGAAGCCAGCAAGGCTCAGGAGGAGGAAGATCGCAAAAAGCGAGAAAGCAGACAGGGCGATGCCGTTGACCCCGATTTGGAAAAGGCCCTGAAGTTGAGCAAGGAGGAGGAGGAACGACGGCGGCGCGATGTCGAGGACCAGAATGCCAATGCACTGTTCGGTTTCGACGAGCCTGCGCAGCCTTCGCAGCCCCAACCCACCGGCCTCAACCAGGGCTATCAGCAAGGCAATCAGGTCAACTTTATGGGTAACCCCATCGATCAAAACCAGTTGATGGGCCAGCCTACAGGATACATGCAGAACCCCTACCAGACCGGCATGATGCCAAACCAAACTGGCTTTCCCAACTATAGCAATAATGGTTTTGGTATGCAGCAGACGGGCATGGATCCATACGGTCAGCAGCAGCAACAGTCGATGCCCTCATTCCAGCAATCACAACCCACCGGTTTCAACCCATACGTACAACAGCAAATGCAGCCCCAGCAGCCCACCGAGCCTTCTCCTCAACCTGGCAGCAACAATCCTTGGGCCACGAACCAGTCTCAGCAATCCCTCAAGCCTATGCCGACCGGCTCCAATAACCCGTTCGCCCAGTTCAACAACCGTCCCCAGGCCGCGTCCCCCGTATCGACACTCTCAGCGCTCCCAGAACAGAAGACGCTGTCCACCTTTGGTCAGCAGCAGCCACAATTCACACAGCCGCAGCCGCAGATGAACTTCAATCAACCCCAAGCCGGCCTCAACGCCCAGCCCAAGAAGGAGCTTAGCGAGCATGAGAGCAGGCTCAACGCCCTCCTCGCGTCCGGCGACGGCATGGACACGTACGGAAACACGGGCGATCTCCGCATCCCCGCGCAGCACACGGCCCCCGGCATGTTCATGAACAGCGCCGGTTCCGGCGCTGCCAGGCTGCAGGCCGAGGCTACGGGCAGCAACCCTTTTATGCGCCAGCAGTTTACAGGCATGCCTAGCATCAGCTACGGGGGGCAGAACGGCCAGCAAATGAACAACAACCCCTTTGGAGCCCAGCAGCAGCCGCAACGGCAGCAACAGCAACCGGGCCAAGATTTGATTCAGTTTTAACCTGCGTAGCGGTGGAATGGGGGCTGAAAAAAACGAGGGATAAGGAAACGATACACAACTCGACTGCTATTTTTCTCATATTTCCCTTGTTTTACGCTTTGTTCTTACTTTTACCATTATTGCCGTACACTTTGCGCGTTGATGTTGGCTTTTCTTGCTTCTTTGTCCAAGAAAAAATTGTGTGCAAGTTTTTTTCGTCTGTTTATAAACTCTCATGATTTCTATTAACACCCATCATTATCCCATCCTTTCCTTGTATACCAGCATGGCAACTCAACCACCGTTACCATCAAGAATTTTCAACTGCCAGATCTGTGCTTCACTTTGTGGTTTTTTGCCTGAAATTTCTTCATTTGGCTGCGCTGTTCCCGCTTAAAAAGCATGTAAGAACGTGATCGGGAACCGATAGATGAGACTGCTGCTGCGTTTCTTGCAGCGCGGCCAACCGGATGACGAGCTCAAGGAGTGACAATGATGTCGTGACGGAGCTGAAGAGGCTGTTGTTTGGCGGCGGCGCGCTTTGAGTGACGCTGCTGATTGTCGTATACTGAAACTGCGATGTGTCTTGGTTACACTCAACGCTGTCCTGGTCGGGGTTTGGTGGCCTTGGCTGGTCCAAGACTGCGTTATCCGTGGCCTCGCCATCAATTCCCAGTTCAGATTCGTCACTCTCCGTTTGCGTAGACTCTGTATCGCTCTGGTCAGGTTGGTTGTCGTCGGATAGATTTCCTGGGTACATTTCGAGAGCTATCCACTCAGGATCAAGATAGGACGGGAATTGAGAGCTTTGCGCCGCCGGGGCAGTATCCGGCTCGCCGCCATCCCGGACACCGACCTCCGTTGCGCTGCATTCGCCAAGAATTTGACAGTCTACGTGATGCTGCGTGTCGTCCTCTGGTGGCGTGTTGGGTCTTGGTGACTTGCATGCATCGACCGCCGAAGCCGTTTCTCTTTTGAGTAATAGTATCGGGGTGCCGCAGGCCTCCAAGTCATCTTTGATGTTGAGAATGGCGGCGGAATTCGTGTACAGAAGCTTGGTGATTTCGGGGAGTGGTATTAAATCCGACGCGCTGGATTCCGCCGAGCTGCTTAGGGTGTCGTGCAGCCTCCCGTCGTCTCTGTCCTCTGCGATTTCAAGCTGGTATGAGTACGCTGAGGGAGTGTTTAGTCCAATTTGCTGCTTCTGATGCGACGGGCATAGTGTGCGATGGAGCCGTAGACGGGCTTTATGCAGGACCTCTTGCCAGGTGGGCTTCCTAACGTTGTCCAGATCGAGACTCTGAGCAGCAGCGCGGCCGGAGGCTTCCCCAGCTTGCGTGTACGAGTAGCCTTTAAATATCATGTACACCGAGACGACGAAATCGGGCCCGACCTGCACCGTCGTCCGCGGGTTGGTCATGAAGTGGCTGTCGGCGATCATGTGAAAGGCGCTGGCCTGGAGCATCCGCGAAGGCGAGACGGAATCGGGCAGGCTCGTCGACAGGCTCTCACCAGACGTCGAGATGGCCAGCTGCAGAAGCGGTATGCTTCCGTTGATCCGATCGATGAGTGCATGGACATCCGTCATCAACCGACGGATCGTCGCCTGGTTGGTTTCGGGAGCGGTCAGCGAGGCGATTTTGCGGCCGAGCAGGGCAATCTCCTTTTGAATCGACGTCGTGAGTGCCAGTGCCGACTCGAGCGCGCTATTCCCCTGTCCTGACCTGAGCTCGATCAAGTTGATTGCTGGCGTGATGATCTAGAGGGGGGGTTCTTCCGTCGTTAAAAGAGCAAGGGCATAATGAGAAAGCGAAGGAGAAAATAAAGGTCTGGAACTTTGTACACCAAGAAATGTATCGCGTTTACCTGGATTTTACAGTCTAGGTCACCCTGGAGCTTTCTTAGTTCATCGGACAGCTGCTCGTCGCTTACGGTCGTGAGAAGGTGCGAGTACTGCTTCAGCGCGTAGGACGATGTGAAGACGATGCCCGATCTTACGGCGAGTTTCATGGCCTGCATGCCGACTAGGGAGAGGAACTGTTCCATGATGTGTATTTCTGCGTTTCTTTTGTATGAGTAGCTGAGCTTCAAAGAGTTTTCAATTGTTTGCAGCCCTTCCAAAGACTGTTCGTATGCCGGTGCCCAAGGCATTCAGTCACTTCTGCCTGCGCGTCTACACCGAGTCAGTGTACAGTGCGAATATTGCAGTTAGCCCCTCTGCAATCAATCCCGCACAGTCTAAAGCCGCAACGTCTCAAGGAATCGAAAGTTGAAACCTGTAAAACGGTTGAGAGTCATTGATAATTTCACAAAAAAAACCGAAAAGAAACAAAGAAACTGTTCATCACCAATATTTTCTTCTAAAATATAGTGCTAATAAAGCGTGTCTCACTGTACTGCCCCTCCACAACATATCCCCGCGACAGTCTTCATGGTGGGGCTCGAATTTTCACCACGCACCCTCTTCTGCCAAGGCATAAACAGCAGTCAGGCTTCAACACTGACTCAGTCTGCTTGGAAGCCTTAGCTCTCGTGGGCATCTATATATTTGCTTGGAGATTCTTGTTTTGCCAAACGCAGCGGCCCCCCGACGAACCGACCGAACCTGTCGACGCATAAACCTCGAGTAGCAAGCGCCTCTCGAAATTTCTCCCCCACCACTCGTGTCGCAACCACTTTATCCAGCCTACTCGCTTCGCATCTACGCCGCAAATATGTCGAACCTCAACTCCTGGGAAGATGATCCGTCGGCTCAGGACGAGAACCTCTCTCGCCAGGCTCAGCAGCAGCTTAACATGAACGCGGGCAACCAACAGCAGCAGCAGGGCGGATTCCGCCCAGCCATCGCTTCGTTCCAGCCCGGCGCCACGAGTTTCCAACCCGGTGCTCAGAGCTTTACTCCTGGACAGCAATACGGGGGAGGATATGGCCAGCAGTATCAGCAGCAGCAGCAGTACTACCAGCAAGGATACTACCCTCAGTACGGTCAGGGTCAGGGAGGACAGCAATTCAACCAGTACAACCAGCAGCAGGGCTATGGCGGCAACTTCAGCCAAGGATACAACCAAGGACAAGGTTTGTTTTGACTACACGTATAATGAGTCTATGCAGCTCACAAATGATTCAGGATACCCCCAATACGGTCAGCAGCAGGCGCAACAGGCCAAGCCTCAAGCTCCCAAAGCCCCGGCCGCTCAGGCAGCTCCTTCAGCATCCACCGCTCCGAAGCCTGTCGCCACCAAGCAAGGCGGCGCCAAGGTTCTCAGCATCGGTGGTGAACCCGCGGCCAAGCCCAAGGTCGCCAAGGTGCTCTCCATCGGCGGATCAGCTACCCCGCCCAAATCTGAGGAGAAGGCTGAGATCAGGACCGATACGAAGCCGGAGCCTACCGACAAGCCCGAAGCAGGACAGAAGACGACAGCCGCCAAGGCGATCGAGAAGACGGGCGAGAAGACGACTGCCCCCAGCGGACGTACCTCGCCCACTCCTTCGTCCGGTCGCGCCAGCCCGTCTGGGGCTGAGAAGAAGCCCCAGCGCGAGGCCGACGCTGTTGCAAAGGAACAAGCCGCCGACGTCGACGATGAGACGCTCAAGGAAATTTACGGCAAGGAGCACGTCAACGTCATCTTTATTGGCCACGTTGATGCCGGTAAATCTACTCTCGGTGGTTCAATCCTCTACGCCACTGGCATGGTGGATGAGCGTACCATGGACAAGTACAAGAAGGAAGCCAAGGACCTCGGTCGTGAGACTTGGTATCTGTCATGGGTCATGGACCTGACCAAGGAAGAACGTTCAAAGGGCAAGACTGTCGAGGTTGGCCGCGGTTTCTTCGAGACGGAGAAGCGCAGATACAGCATTCTTGACGCCCCTGGCCACAAGACCTATGTCCCCAACATGATTGGCGGTGCCTCCCAGGCTGATGTTGGCATTCTGGTCATCTCGGCCAGAAAGGGCGAATATGAGACTGGTTTCGAGCGTGGTGGTCAGACTCGCGAGCACGCCATGTTGGCCAAGACACAAGGTGTCAACAAGCTGATTGTCGTCATCAACAAGATGGATGACCCTACCGTCGAGTGGTCGCACGAGCGCTACCTGGAATGCACAACCAAGCTTGCGCAGTTCCTCAAGGGAACAGGCTACAACCTGAAGAACGATGTCTTTTTCATGCCTGTCGCTGCGCAAACCAGCCAGAACATCAAGGACCGCCTGCCCAAGGGCAAGGCTCCGTGGTACGACGGTCCATCACTGCTCGAGTACCTCGACAGCATGACTGCGCTGGAGCGTAAAATCAACGCTCCCTTCATGATGCCCGTCAACGCCAAGTACAAGGATCTTGGCACTATGATTGACGGCAAGATTGAGGCTGGTGTTATCAAGAAGGGCATGAGCCTTGTCATGATGCCTCGCAAGCAGAACGTGGAACTCTCTGCGCTTTACGGAGAGCAGGAAGAGGAAGTTCCCGTGCTCCAGTGCGGTGACCAAGTTCGCCTGCGTCTCAAGGGCATCGAGGAGGAGGAAATTCTGCCCGGCTTCGTGCTGTGCTCGCCAAAGCGTCTTGTGCACTGCGTGTCCGAGTTTGAGGCGCAGATCAGAATCCTGGACCTCAAGAGTATCCTGACGTCTGGGTTCAACTGCGTCCTGCACGTGCACTCGGCGATTGAAGAGGTTACGTTTTCGGCTCTGCTTCACAAATTGCAGAAGGGAACGAACCGCAAGAGCAAGCTCCCTCCGACGCACGCGAAGAAGGGTGACAGCATCATTGCTCGTATGCAGGTGATTGGAGGAGCTGGCGCCGTATGCGTGGAGAGGTTTGAAGACTACGCGCAGATGGGTCGTTTCACGCTCCGTGACCAGGTAATTCCAATTGCGAAGATTCGACAGCGCCGTACAATGATGCTAACACTTGCCTGCAGGGTCAAACCATCGCCATTGGCAAGATTACGAAGCTGATTCTGGATGAGTAAATGATGAAATGCATGTAGCCATTGTGTAACGGGGCAGTATACGGGAGGCGGATAGGATGGCTATGCAAGAATGAGGAGGAAACTAAAAGAAAAGCACATAGCATCGGATGTTGTTGTTGTTGTCAAGCTCAGTACCACGGATAGTTTGGGAGCTTCAGGGATGACGGAAAGACGATTTTTTAAAGAATAGATGATGCAATGACGATTTAACCAAAAGCACGTGCCGGAAATGTGAAGCGGTGTATAGCAGGAGCGTCTCCGGGGGGGCGCAGCCGGAGGTGAAGCGGTGTGTGGCAGGCGGGGTTTCGGAGGGGTGAAGTCGGAAGCGGAGCAAGTGACCGGAGCCGGGTTTTGCGGATTGCGGAACGCGGAAAAGCATACATGACGACAAGAAGAGCTTTCACCGCAGGACTTGAAATGCCGGGATAAACAGGGCGAGTAGAATCCACACATGTACCTTGCACAGTTGGAAAACAAATCTGCGGCGCATTTGGATGGAGAGAAGTGGGGGAGGGGGGTGGTTGTCAACAGGCTAGAACTTCACGATGACTTCAATGACGAAAAAGCAAGGGGGGCAAGGAAAATCATGGCAAAGCCGCCTCATGGAGCCGAACCTGGAATTTGTCGAGCCGACGGGGGTACAGACGGTTGAACAGGGGGGAGGTATTGTCGGAAGGATACGGGAAAATTGCACGGCAGGATGATGCTTGAGAAACGTAATGGACGATGGATGATGTGAAGAGCATCAAAGTGCTGAGAGGACGAAAATGAACCGGGGGCGAAGGAGAGCAAAGGCCAGGCAGGGCGAGACGGAGGCTCTGCCGTGAACCGAGACGGTACGGTGGTCGACCGACGCAAAGACTGGAGTGGGGGGACGGAGGGGGGGGGGGGAGGAGGCTCTGCCAAAAAGTCCAGTTATTTTATTCTAGATTACAAAGTTCTGACCTAGTCGCAGTAGCCAGTGGACTTACGGTGGGTTTTGTTAATGAATTGAATATTAACGGGGTAGTCAGTTTTGGCAGGGGGGGGTGGGAGTGCTGCGATGCGACGCAGAACGGCAAACCCGGGACGGATAGGAAGGAAAAGGAACGTTGATGGACGGACGTTTGGGTTTCGGGTAGGTGTTTTTTTTTTTGACATGTGTCAGTGGCAAACGAGCGGCAGTGCCGGGCAAGGCAAGGGATAGGACGGCTAAAAGAGGCAGGGAATAAGGCCCTGGCGAAACACGTAGTAGATAGGGAATGAATGTCACGTAGATAGGAGCAAGTAGGGATATCGACTGAAAGCAGGTGAGCCTGGCGCAGCAGCCGCGTCAACTGCCACATGGGGGGACGAGGACTCGGATCGGGACGGAGAGAGAGGAACGATCTTGTTAGGCAGCCTACTGGGAGAGGGGGTGCGTGGCGATAAGGCAGAAGAGACGGGTGATAGATAATGAGAGGCGAAGAGCAGGATACAGGTAAGAGGCGAAACGGACGGAAACGGTGGGAGAGAACGGTGGAAGGAAACGGAAGGGGTGTGTGGATGGGACGAGATAACGGTCAACAGGGTGAAATAGAATGGGATGGATGAATGCCTGGGAGCCTGGCGTCGATACGGAGATTGAGTATGTAGATAAGGCGCGGGCAGCTTTCTGGTGTTGGTGTCTGGGGGCGGTCTGATAAGAGGTGTGTGTGATGGAGAAGAGGAAAATCTGGGGATGGTTGCCTGAGTCACAAGGCCATCCATTCATTTGTATATAATGTTGATGATGTTTCCCCTTATGGCAGCTGCTTTGATGTAGGAAGAAAGACTCGGCTTTTGTTTCTCACGTACGAGGGAACTGATTGGTGATGGATCATGGTTCATCATCCATGATCAGTGGCCTTTGGGTATTGACGACAGACCGCCCAAAGTAAGAAAGAAAATGTAGGGTAGGTTGCGGTTGGGTAGAGGTGCATAGTAGCATATTAGAATGGCGGACTATTTTGGTAATTTTTGCGCCAATTTTTTTTTTTTTTTTTTTTTGTTTTTTTTTTTTTTT